CCCCCCCCCCCCCCGGCATTTTGCTCAGGCTACGCCCCTGATAGCCCAAGACTTCAGCTCGAACATTCAAGTTTAACTTCACATTAAGCGTGTGGCTTGTCTTGTAAATGATAAGGTCATGTAGAGGTCATTTCCAGCATGATTGCTTGCTTGCAGCTGAGCTGATAATATAACATTTCTTACTGTGTCTCTGTAGTTGAATTATGAGCTCAAAAAGTATCAAAACTCCAGTCCAGCTTTACATGCATTTATTGCGACAAGTGAGAAAGCTGCCAAAAGAAGCACAGCCTTATTACAAGAATTACGTGAGACAGGTATACTAGTACTTGCAACCCCCCCCCCTTGACTTTCGTCTCTACTTTTAGTGCTTGCTACCAGTTTCCAAGTAGGATCTTTATTTAAGTTTTCATTCATTTATTTATTTTTTTTTGTTGTTGTGTTTGAGTTTTTATTATACTAATTTGGTTAATGCATTACCCTTCTCCACTTATATGACCATTACATATGCACTCTTAAAATACATGAAAATCCTAATATCCCGAGTAATACAGTATCATGCTTGTTGTATGAGCCATGCAACATCTGTACGGGAATATTCTCAAAATGCTCTGTTTTCTTCTCCAGGGGTTTAACAGTCACTCTGATGAAGATGATCCAGAACGCATCCAAATGATCATAGAGAGGTCAGTTAAGGATGCAGAATGGATTGTAAACAAGGTGAGGTTTGGGTCTTGAGGGGGCATAGAGGGTTTATGAGATTTTGGTTTGAAAAATATAGTTAAGGGCCTTATCCAGTGTCTTTAATACCTTGCAAATACTAACTGACCAATATGCTATTAAGTTTCAGACTCATTTTGCTTAAGTTGGTTGAACCCTAAGACATCAACATGCATTCCTATAAAGCCTTACTTTCACTCTTCAAGTAAAATTGTAAATTTGAACTGGGGATTCCATTTCAATATTCAGGGTCTTCAACATTGAATATATAGGATGTTAAAAAGTACTTGATGTGTGGTCCTCTTTATGTAGGTCATGAAAAAATTCATAAAATGGACTTATACAGTACTGTATAGTGTCGAATATGATTTGTAGTGATGTTATCAAATGTCCATTGCCATTATACAGTGAATGGTTATCCTTGTTGGTGTCCAGTGAAAGAAAATTACTGTCTGTGTTGACCAATATTTAAAAACTAAGGTTGTGATCTTTTATGAATAAACAGCATGGAGCAAATATACTTATATACCTTCCTCCCTTGTACTGTTCCAGTATCCAGTTTTGTATTGCCTATATTGAGCACGTAAGACATTTATATCTTGTGACTCCTTTGAATTGTCTTATTTTTAGTACACCAAAAATGAAACATGACATGAATTATGGAAAAGCCAGTGGAAGTGCCAACAGCTTTGAAGAGGCCAAATGAGCTACTACATGTAGTATATATGGAAGAGGAACATCGCTACATATGAAGCTGTAAAATGTCTTTAGTGACTTTGGACAGAAAAAAAGGTGGTTGGAAGTAATATCACATGCTCTGTGGAGTGGTGTGGCAGGAGGAGTCAAATTTTTATATCTTAATATATTATCTTTAATTTATGTAGTCTGAATGAAGACATTTTTTGCACTCTTGTAACACTGCAATAATGAGAGTTGTCAATTTATCAAAGTTTAAACCCTGTTTCTTAGTGTCTCTTGCTCTTTACATTGTTTCAGTCAGCTGGCCTTCCCAGCTGACACTAAACACTGGCATGAGTGTCGAGAAATATATTAAAATTCCCAAACGGACATCGGTGAATAAACCTAGAAAAAAATGAACGTTACTGTAAAAAATAGATTTTTGGCTATGTTCAGAGACAAGTCTTGGGTGCTTTTTATTATTGTCTGTTTAATTTGTTACAAAATTTAACAAGTTTTCAATTTTTTCTCCTGTACATCATCTTAATTTGGTTGGCAAAACTTGTACCAATTAGTCAAATCAGATAAGTCAATTTACATTTAATAGCTCACATACATGTATTAAGTGCTTAGAATGTCAATTATTGAATGATCCTTAATAGCTCTTAATCCCTGAATATTAACTTATGTCACTATTGTAGTTATGTGACTGTTTGGCCATAGCCTTTGTAAAATACGATATGACTAATGAAGTTTTTTATCATTATTTTCATTAAGCACATTTGCAACAAACCAGAGAAAATTATTGATTGTGGTAGTTGAGACAGATTATCGCTATCGCAATAATATTCATCGTACTCCATCTCTGAGAAAAGATGCTAATAAGACATGTTGATAGACATAGAAAAGAAGGCGAGGTTGCGCTTATTGGTATAGAACATACACCAAAGCCTTTCTTATTTATTTCCAATACGAAGTTGTTCAAAGTAAGATTAAGGACTGGAGTCGGTAAGGTGCGTTGCTAAGGCGATCATGTTTAGGCGATCAAGCGGATTGCATGTGTAAATCTTAGCTTAATAGGAATACGACACTCTGTTAGTGTTCTGGTGTGTATGCTCAACACACATTTCTTTTTAGCAAATTTCCGCTCGAGTATGAAATAAACCAGTTGTTATCACGTCTGTCAGTTGACAAAGATCAGGCACAGGCGACCCAAAGGGTTATTTTTGACAAATCTTCAATCAGTAAATACGTGACCGATTAGTGGGGTGCACCAGACTGCGGTTACTCTACGGACTTTCCCATGCATTTCCTTTATAAGCATAAGGATTAAATTTAGGCACGAAAAAAGTTTTGCGATTCATACCATTATTTAACTTAAGTGTGATTTGTACACGTTTCTTAACACGTCTGAAATTTCAGTCATGTCATAATTCTTAAAAGCATTGAAATTTCATTATGTGTTAAATGTGAGATGACGAGTTGTACGAAAGTTTGTAATAGCGATGGATGGTAATAAATTTTAGTCTGGACAACCGAAATATAAAAACTGACCTTGAAAACTCGATACGATGCATTGTTTTAAATGAATAAATTAAGTGAGGCTGACATTAGACAGTAAGAAAAAAGAATCGACCCGGCGGTCAAAATCCAATTTATGCTTATTTTCCGCCAGTAATTCGTCCCCTGCACCGTAAGTTTTATTCTTTTTATATTTCCCCCGGTAGAACACGTTTTCATACAAACCCATTCCTTAAAATCTTGTCATGTTTTGTTCTTTTATCGGCAGTATTCAAGGCATGAAGTCGAATAAATTTTTTTCATAACACGGCTTTCTCATAGTCTAATCTACAAACTTCATGTTTGCTTATAACTTTGTTTATTCACGTTATCAACAAACGCTCCTTCTGCGAACAAACACAGAGGCCTATTAAGCTGGTGTGTATGCATGACACAGAACCCTTCATTTTTGATGCACCACTCGGCTGTCATGTCAGGTGAGCGTCTCTTTGTTGGCGTATGTCACAGAAATCTGTTGCGGTGTGAAATATTTGCCCATCTTAAGTAGCATAGCATACTCGCGTACTGGTTACCAGCAGAGAGAAGTTGGTTTAAGCCAGCATTAGAAAGTCTATTGATACGTTAAGCTCTAATGGAAAGTTTGTTTTCTTGACAAATACCAGTCAGTTGAACAAGATTAGAAGTCATACCTGTATTGGACAATTTATATACCGACATTGGGCTGGTGAAGGGAATAATAGACAGGCGACCCTTCACTTAGAATTAATATTGCGCGTGTATCATGTGCCCTTGCACAATAGCTCTCCACTGAAATCATGTTTGCTCGAAGCAGTTAAATACAGAAAGCAGATAAAACAGCGGTAATGGACCACTTGCACTACAAAAATAACAAACACCTAAAGATGTCTCGTAATCAATGAAAAATGAATTCATTTCAATCGACCCATGTTGAATGTATTAACAATAGCTTCGTGTGTCAAGAAATTACACTTTAAACTCGCTCTGTTAGTCCTAGACACAGAAAACACTGATTCACAGCGTTCTCCACAGACGCCTTAGTGACAGGAAACGTGTCGTTTATGTTGTCTATCATAAAAATTGTTAATCTGAATGGCACTTTTGGCAATTCCGATCCAGTTAAGTTTTACAGAGAAGAACTTCTTGACGGTCTACACGAAACAAATTAAAAACACGCGTGAGTATAAATCATCCAATATTTATTTTGGAAGACAATTCTGCATAAGAGGTATATTGTTTTTAAGCTATGTAAGCTATGTCACAACAGGCTTATTATTTTTAATTTTGAAACTTGTATTAATTTCACCTCTTATCTAAATGACAATAGCTTCCCTTTTTGATGTAATTATTGTTTTTTGTTAATTGGGGTCTAAGCTTGACTGTTGTAATATCGATATGTAGGGTTATGAATTGCACCGGCACGAAAAACCAGTGCCCTCAACATTTAAGTACGGCGTGTCTCATAACGCATTTTCCTTTGAATCATGAAAACGTGACCATGTCGGTCACTCCTGACGTGTATAATTTATAATTTTTTTACCGCCCATACACGAATTTCACACATGGAATACTGCAACAAACCACAAATTATCATGTACGACTAATTGTACTTTTTTTTCACCAAATCATTTTCTATAAATAATTTTGTATATCCAGACATCATCTTGAAATTCAATCAGACACTTGGAGCAAATGACCCCGGTCTAGCCAAGGAGATGCCTTCTTGGTCTGGTGTAACTAAGTATTAAACCAACCATTCAGATTAATCAGTTGTTATCTTATTGCATCACGTAGATTGGGTCGAATAAACTCTATCTTGTACAGCGTTGCTATGCAAACCCTTGACGTCTTTGTTCACCTGTAATACAAATTGAAATCGATCTCTAAAACTAATTCAACTTTTCTCCGGGGTTAATGAGTTTTCATCATGGTTATAATCAAAAGCTGCGATATGCTGACTCCACGCATACATGTATTTCTAAACTACCCCTGATAAGGAGAAGTATTAATGTTATCAATTCAAGACAAATCCCTCATCACCGAAACCTAGTTAATTAAAGCCCCTCTACAGCCTTCTGTCACATACTACGAAACCTTTTAATCCAAGGCACACGCGCCGAAATACAGTATCATTTACAACAACACGCGCGGATCAGGTGAGTTCATGAGAAATGCAGTGTAATAGCATTGAGCAGATTTCAAACCACTTTGAAATTTAACGAGGCAATGAACCAGGATGCAATATTTCGTTCAAGAATCAAACAAGATAGCAAGTGAACTCAACCCTTTTTTTACGCCTATCAGTTTTATCTACCTCTCACAGGGCAATCAAAAGTGACATGCATGTAACATTGAAAAGCTTCACTGCTACCAGTACTTCAGCGAGGAGACAAAATATCTGTTTGGTAAAGCAGAATGATGTGAAATTCTAATTGTTTTTTTTTTACTTATAAATTAACTTTTCAACCAATACTGAATACTTATGGAACAAACGTGGACACTCAGGTAAAGGCACTCCTATTTGGGATATTTTTCGTTAAGATTTTGAACGAATAAACAGGTAACTCGCAAAACTTTTTGACACGCCTTTGATCTTGAAATTCGTGATATCATTTACGCCAACTCACAAGAAAGTAACTGTCATGAGCATAATGTCCAGTTGACGCATTTAATTTGTAGCGGCTTCTTGTAAAATATCATTTGGTCAAACTTGGATATTGATTTTCACGCGTTAAATTGTCGTGTTTCATTTATCGTCACAAAACCTTATGACAATTTCAGACGTAAATATTGAAAAATAACTGACGAATCTTTTCAATATTTTGACAAAGAATTAAAAAAATAATTGAGAAATAAATTGAGTTTACTTATTTCTTTATATTCTTCTTTTATGCTGGACCTCAGAGTGTGCTTTATGTCAGGTTTGACTGTACCTTTTTGTATTGAATAAATGACACCCATTGATGCAAGCCAGGAACATAAAAAGTGTTGCAATATTTGGCCTAAAAACCAGAACACAACTGAAATAAAATGCCGTACCAAACATCGTCATGCAAGAACAGTCTTCAATATTCGAATAATAAAAAAAAAACTACCTTAAGAAATACTCACTTTGTGTCCTATAATTAAAGGCACAGGGAAGGCTTATTTCGGCATGTTTACCGTCGTAACAAGGAGTCATTACATATATGTATAGGCCCTACAACGTAACTGTGCCGAATGCGTATTTCTTCTCAAAATACAAAGATCTTATAATTAATAACAGGTGGGTGGATTTCATACTTTGACATTTACATTTCGTTGTGTCCACATTCATAATAGCAATTTTTCTCTTTTTACAGCTACCAGCCCGTGATATAGACATACTCAGAGCAACTGCTTTTTACAGAGAGCTTTTCATCTTCTGGGAATAACTCTGAATGGACGACACATCAAAGAAAACCAGATACTTTCAATTTATTCAGAAAAGTTATGGAAAACAGAATAATTCCTCAACAATCATTATGTGAGGGTTTGTTTAAGGCAGCTCTCTTGGGCCATTATCGTACTGTGGAAACACACTTCTAGACGATGAATAAACTAGTAAATCTTATGTATACATACAGTAACCTAGACGCGTAGCGGCTTCATGATGACATCAATCGACTACACTGAGGACGGCGAGAGCAGAAGCCTAGTGCAGAAAGCTGGAGCGGGCCGAGGCTCTCGGCCGCGAAGACGGAGGAAAAAAATACCGTCCATCATGAAGATTTCTTTCAACTATTACAAAGAGCGGATGCTTTTGGAGGTGCCTTATGGGTTAACAGTAGCAGAAGTAAAGAAACTAATCAGAGAAAAGTTTAGAATAGGGTCTGATGACGGTAGACCCGATAAAAAGATTCTTACTTTGAACTACGGCGGGGCTGACCTAGGGGATAGTTGGGTGTTTTCTGATGTCGGCGTACAGCAGGGGAGTACTGTCAAAGTCCTAATGAGGGAAGAGATCAAACCAGTGCTGTACGTTTACTGTCTCTACAGCCAAGACAACGTTAAGATCGTCGACCAGATTCAGGTGTCTTTGTTGTCAGTGGCAGAGTTACGAGGAATTGCGTCCAGGAAGACGGGGATGCCTGTGGGCGCCTTCAGGCTCGTCACGGTGATGGGCAGGGAAATGTACGACGGGCATCTCTTGGATGAATACGGCGTGGAGGTGGGACACACCGTGCGCCTGGAGACATGGGACGGATGGAACGATTTTCTCAATCTTGCCATTAACGGGTTTACGTCTCATGTCATGGCGCGACTCTCCACCGAAGACTTAACCGCTCTGTACCAGATGAGGGTAGCGATGTACATAGCAGCGCACTACGGGCACGTTGACCTGTGTGTCACCCTCCAGCGTCAAGGAGTGCGGCCTGACGAACCGGTTGGGAACCATCCGTACCGCCAGTGGTGCCACAGTTCGTCTCACGTCGACGCTTTGAAGACAGCGGTCCACGAGGCGGCAGAAGTCGGACAACTGGGCATTTTACGCACCTTCGCTCACAGCAACATCTGCGTTATCACGGCAAAGGATGGACTGGGACGAAAACCGCTCAATGTGGCTATACAAGCCAAACAGGAACAGTGCGTGAAATTTCTGCTCTCAAAGCAGTACAGCAGGGTCGTATACGCCCAGTCTAAAACAATCCCTGCCTCTATTTATGTGAGCATGAAAAACTGGAGTGACAGGGCTAAAAAGAAAGTTTTGTTTCTATATGGCTGGGAGAAATCTTCGTTTAAGCGGAGGCCGTATTGTTATGGTGCTCTCGTCGGGCAAGGGATTCATATCGATGGTTTCACAAAAAGTGCAGTGACAGGTAACCCTGCCCCGCCTCCACAAAAACAATCAAAAGCACTGCCAGCCCTCCAAATCGACGAAGGGAATCGCGAAAATTTTGACTATGAAAGTTACTTCAGACAACAAGCAAAACTACAGTTCAAACTACCCCGTCTGACCAAATGGGATCGCATGAGTCGCCAGACAAGCAACCAGGCCTCGGAGCTACCCGAGATCTCCAACAGTTCAAAATTTAACCGAAAGAAATCTTTACCTCGAAAGCGCAGTGACAGCGAGACCACTACGGACATGTTACGTTTACCCCCAATACGAGAAGGGAAAATGCTGGGCAGCCGCTCGCTCCAAAATTTACCGTCAACCACACAACGCGATACTGAATACGCGGACTCAGAAGCTTCGGACGAACTTCTTGACTCTTTTGATAGTGAAAACGTCGAAAGCAAGGACGGTAAAGCAGACAGGGGTGTGTTCGTTACGGCATACAAAGCAATGGAAACTTATAATGAACTACAGTCAGAACATGATATTGCAAAATCTGACTTGAAGAAAAAGATAACTAACCAAAAGAAAAAGAAACAAGAGAGGGCACTTCGTTCAGCTGTTCTTTTAGCAAAAGCCAAGTCTGTGGAAGGATCGCTCCCGCTACCTTTATTTAGCGTAGAGACCTGTCCTAAACCGCATTTCTATGGGCGCAATAAAAGTGACGGCGCTCTTGTTCCTCGAACTCTTGCCACATATGAGAAATACAGAGGCCAAAAAGCCAGAGATTATGCCATTACGTGCCTGTCGCTTGCTAATAATTTCAAGGAAAAGCCATGGCTTCAACAAGTACGCTTAGCAATGAATTTTACGGCACAAAAAGTTAAGCGGACTTCCAAGCTAAGAACAGGGGTATTTCCTTAAAGTCGGGAGACTTGATAGTCGGATTGCGGTAGCAGAACTCAAACCGCACGCGCCAAAGGATAACTTTTTATATACTTGCCCTCTCTCTCTCTATATATATATATCCTCTGAACAAGGAGGTACGTCTAAGAATAAACCATAATAGTAATACTAATATTTATTGCAATTTAACATTGAACACATGCCATCACAGTGAATTATATATTTTTCGTATCTATTGCAATTCCACATTTAACCTAGTTGCATGTACTAAATATGACTTTAATGATAACAATAAAAACACGAAAAGAAAATTTTTTAGTTAGATCTATTTGTTTTTCTTTAAAAATGTTGAGAGAAAAATCGGTAGAACAGAGCCCGTATATCGATGTTTAGCAAATACCTATCCTTTGTAATATTGTACATGTCACAAAGGCCTTTACGCTATAATAAATATATACTCACTTTATTTCCGTAATAATATAAAACATACATGACGAAGGACGTTCCCGTGATCACTCATATACATGTACATTTTTTTGAAACTTTTTTTAAATTTTGAAACGTATCTCTGGGCAACGGGACGTCATAAGTTCCATTATTAGCACTGTGACGTGTATAACAATTAACCGCAAATGCTATCTGACGTCACTGCGCCAAGTGTTACTCTTGACGTCATAGAGTTGCCAACACAAAATAATGATATCACCAAGTAACTAATAACAAGTATGTATTGCGACCACTGGCATTGGTAGTTTTTTTTTTTTTGTGCTATGAGACCACGCCAGCTAAAGTCCAAGCGGAAATCGAAAAAAAGGAGGTTCTTGGAAGCCTGTTTTTGTATTGCTGGCACAACATCTGATGAAGAGGACGCTTTTATTGAAATTTCGTCTGTTTCTTCTTCTTTTAAAAATCTAACATCGCTGGCGATAGAAAATTGCGATGTAAAGCAGAATACAACATATGGATTTGAAGAAAAAACGGACAAGCTCACCGAATGCGAAATCTCGAAAGACACTGGTTTCAAAAGCTGTATCGATGACACAGTCGCTGAAATGGGAACCGCTGATATTTGTGTTCAAACCAACATTAATGATAGCGGGGGCAAAGAAAGAATGCGAATAAAACGCCAAACACATATCTTTCCCGAAACCTTTAGAATCGCAACATCAACAAAATCTGGGAAATCAAACCTGGGACTTCATAGAAATATAGAGAATGAGCCATCAACCGAGATGTTGACGATGGCTTGCTGCAACAGAGATAAGAATGCAATGAAACCGTCCTATACACTAGATCACATACTTGGCCCAGAATATCGGGAACGGCACGTATACGACATTAATGACGCTCTGGACAAAATGTTGACTACATCTAGAAGGGATCACACAGATGCATTTCGCAGTACCTTTGGACCTATACAGGATCCCACAATGGAGTGGCAAACTTTAGCACGTCTGGACGAACGAATTTTGCTTTCCGGACAAGCTGCAGCCCATTCGTCTGCTTTTGCTACCCATCAGAATTCAGCACCAAATTCTCCAAATCCGTTCATTGGACCGTGTGTGCAATCCATCCTCCGCGCGCCACGCCCACCCCCCAAACCCAGAAACAGAGAAGTAGAAATGGCCGTTTATGACATTTTGACCGCTAGGTTTCAAATAGTGTAATTGTAACAATCATGTGTGAACTTAAAACAGGCTGCTTTTCATTTTTCTAGCATTTATTATTTTAACATGTCTGATGTAACTTGTTACGTGAAATATATTTTAATACAAAACTGCATAACAAAGTTAAAATATTTTTCAGACATGAAAAAAAAAACGTCTCTCAAAAACCCAAAGTTTCTTTTTTAAATGTATATGTACAAACAAAACGTATTTCCTTCGTTAACATATCCAAGTGACTGCCACATAACACTATACTGATGTTCATACAAGAATGAGAACTGGACTGGTCCTTGGAATAGTAAATTATGGATTAAATATGGTTGAATAGACCAATTGCACAGTTATAAAGGCATAAATATGATGTTGCATTTTCAACACCTTCAGCCCATCTTCGAATTTCATGTCTGGTAACTAAACTATCTAGCAGCCGCTGATGTCTTTAGTTTTCTTCCTCATGAACCTGGTCTCTCCAGGGTCAAATCCCCGTTCGTCCGCCCCAAACACTGCCCAGTGTGGGGTTTGTGCCATATAGTCTGCTGCCGAGAACGTTTTCTGGCCTTCACTGGCTTTGTACATTTGCACTAACTCGTGGAACCTGTCATAGTCTATCCACGTCCACCAGTCTCCATTGACCTGAAACTGCAGCAACAGATTTATCCTATAAAATTTATGACTTTTTCCAGTTTACTTTATTTTATGCCTGACAATAACTGCACAATAGTTTAGAATGGCTTTTCCCAGCCCAATTTATATCTTCCTTGACTTCAATTGTTTTTAATCAAGTTTGGGTGACCCATCTAAGAACTACTTATCTCAGCTTGCAGTCTGATTATGAACAGCTTCGAAAAGGCAGCAAATCAAATCTTTCTGTTGCCCCACCTAATTCCAGTGTTTCTGAGGTAAGTTAAATACCTTTAAGATTGTTCTAAGGTGAGCTAATCATAATCAGATGCTTTGATTTGTTTTAGAACAGAGTGAGGTCCATTCACTTCAAACTATTAACTTCTCCAACAGCTTCATTTTTAAAATTCGCACAAATTCTATCAATAATAAGAACCATGCCCCTTTTTTAAAAACACATCCTCACAGCATATCGAGAAATAAACTTTAGACCAACCTTTTTATGAGCAACTAGGACACAATTAGAGTGTTCATGTTCCGATGCTATGGCATAATCGGGCAGTCTGTCCACCACGTCCTGGACAAATTTGATGACCTCCTCATGCCACGGAACATTGTCCATGGTCAGACGACTGGCCTTGGATTCGCCACAGTAGGTTACGCCCTAAAATGCAGGAAAATGACTGGTAAACTATATAACAAACGTTGATGACAAAGCAATTTTAACTGGTTACATAACAATTACTACTTTCAGCATTTCATTTGCAAAACAGATATAAAACAAAATCTTATTTTACAAATGACATCTCTTGCATACCTTAATTTCTATGAAGTCAGGCTTTCCAATAGATACCAGACTTGCATAATTTTCTATGTCCTCTGTATTGTAGTTCTTCACCAGTGTTAGTCTGTACACTGTCCTCTGACCCTAAATGAACAATACCATGGCATTTTTTTTCTTGATAAGATGGACATAAAATCTCTTGTAGGGAAAAATCAAAATTCATGTCATGGGTTAATTCTTTAACAAGGAGAAATAAATCAAATACTCCCAAAAATACATAAGTTTCATTCGAGTAAGATGAACATTCTTGATGACAGAGAGCTACATGTAAATGTGAGCTTACTTTTTCTGAGAGTGCCTTCAAGCTGTCCAAAAATCTTTCCCAATAGTCTCGGAACAGTGGTCTGTCTATCTTCTTCAGGCTTTCTTTTGTGCTGGCATCTACACTGACATATAGCTGAGTGACAGGGGTCAGATTTCTAAAACAGACATATACATATATTTATAATGAAACTGAGGGTGTAATTAAAATCGAAATCCATCAAGAAGTGGGTGATTGTCAAAATGTAGAATCTAGATATTGCATATACTACATTTAATGAAACTTTGGCATTTGGTTTGGATTGTGCTTGCCTCTTGCAATGTAAATGTGGGTGATTAGTAAAAAAAAATTTCAATCCTTATACCTGAAGACAGTTGGACCGAGGAGGTAAATACACTTCCTTGGTTGGACAGATAATGTGCTATCAAAAAAGCTGCATTTGCAAGTGAGAAATAGAGGAGTTAAATACCTTATAGCATCTGGAAATTGAGCATTTGTAACCAGGAAGCTTGAGATCCCTTTGCTATGCAACATTTCAGCAAACTTGTTGATCTCTGGGTACATGATTGGTTCCCCAACAAGTGACAAGGCACAGTGCTTTGGAGTCAGCCCCTCAGTAAACCTATCTGACTTCACTCCTGGAACACCTAGCAAAACATTTACATACAAGAAATCAATTATCATGTGAAGTTGTAGGTCCTACATACAAGAGGCTTTTCATACCCCTTCAACTTGAAAGAAAGAAAGAAAGAAAGAAATACCACTGTAGCAGAATATTTTACATATTTCAAGTATCATCAATGTCACTAAAGATAGCTAAAATAAAATTGTTAACCATCATGATATCCTACACATGTGCCTTTTTGAGAGTGAACCACTTGTATGTAATATTAAAAATGCTACAGTCTTAGTTCTAAACCCACTCACCTTTAAACTGTTTAATCATATTACAATGGTTTTGTAGTGCTCCTTCAAGAATAAGTTCTGGATCATCCATCTTCCAACGCCACTCTGTGCCTACAGGGTTGGTGTGATGTCTTCAGAAAGAGAAGGTGTTCAATGGATGTGTTACAAAAAAGTATCAGGTTGGATGTGTACAGATGGAGTTATGGGATACATATAAAACACTATATTGTGATCATGTGACTACATTGCATCTTGAAAAAGCAAATGAGAGAAAAAACAATCAGCAAGAGTGGAGATCCACAAGGCAATTTTGATATAAAACCCTTTTATCGTAAAAAAAGATGAAATATTCTTATACATATATTTTTGTGTTTTCCTTATTTTTTAATGAACCTTTTTTTTCTAGAAATTGTTCTAGATATTCATTTCAATTACACAATTCATATTTCTGCCAATATTCCTCTTACCTCCAACAGAACACACATTTGTTGGCACAAGCAAGACTGGGAGTAGTTTCCATACACCTGTGACTTTCAATGCCATAGAAGGTGTGTTTATAACAACCACCTCGTCCACGGAGCATGGACTGGAACCATAAATGTACAAATTGTCAGGATCAAAATAACATAGTTTTCGTCAAGCTGAGTATAATATTATCAGTGCATAACGAGGTAGGTAGAAAGATTGTCAGAGAGGAAAAATATTTTTAACGGGTCTAAATGTGAAATTCATCCATCAAAATCTTTCTCATTTATTTTAGGGGGTAACTGATGAGCATGTGATATGTCACTGACACACACATGTGATACACATCAAATGTCCATTTATTCACATGAACTTAAATATGCACTACATAACACACGAAACCTATATTCCAATCAGTTATCACCTTAGTCCATCTGCAGAGCTTGACTCCAGAATGTGAACCGATGAGTCTGTAGCCTTGTTTCTGAAGTGAAGTCCTCAGCAGTGGTGTTATCATCTCTCTGGGTTCTTTTGACTTGTTGTCATCTTCAACCTTCCTTTTAGCCTGAAAGATGCAGCATTTGTAAGGTAACGGTGACTGTTACACATTTAATATGTTAATCTTAAAAGGCGTATAGTACAAGACAAAGCAAATACATATAGTACAAGATAAAAAATGGTGGATAAATGAGTTAGATGTAAAACTGAACAAAATTTGATGTTGGTAACTTTAACAAGAGTAGGTTCATTGCACCAAGAAGAAAAGGGGGGGTCTGCCTATGCATTTATCTACATCCAACATAAACAAAAATGAATATTCATTCAAAAATCAATTGGAAAGAAAGGAAAGCACCTTTGCCTTCTTAATATTATTGACCATCTTCCCTATGTCCTCCACATCCACCACACCATTGGCTTTCTGTACTTTTTCTCCATCTCCATCTCCCTCCTCCTCCTCATCTTCTGTGTCTTCTTCACTACTTGTCTCATACTGAAACCATGTGTAAGCATATATAAACAATAAAGGAAAGCAATTAAGGCAACACATAAAGTCAAAAACAAATAAATAAATTTGTCAAAGGGGAAGGAAAATATAAGAATGAGAATATCATTTACCATTTCTTTGGTGTCACCATCTGCTGTGCCACAGTTAGGTTTAACATCTTTCTTGTTTTGGGGCGATCCTAAGACCATAGACCAAAACCTGTTTTTCCAGAATTCAAAATCAGCTTCAATACCTGAAATATGTTAGTTAGTTAATTAATTAATTAATTAATTAATTCCCCATGACTCTCGAATATGTAATGCTCATTTAAGTCTCATCAGCACAGATATTTAGTAAATAGGAAAAATACAATCACATTTCAATATCTGAATGGAATCAAACATTGTTTCTTATCTGTGCTTACCTCCATTTTTGCTGGAGGCAACATTCTCGTCTAGAAGACCAATACCCAGCACCCTATTAGCTGACAACTTATGGAACCAGTGGTCTATATTTCTAGCAACCTGTAAATAAATAAAAGCATTCTTTAAACAAGAGCATGGACCAGAGCCAAGGCTTAATGTACATAATAATAATAATAATAATAATAATAATAATAATAATAATAATAATAATAATAAAAAGATTTTCTTTAAAATGTCAAATTTTACATCATCAGTTATTACTGCATGACTACAATAAAATTGAAATCAACATCACCATTCCTATATTTTAAACTCACCTTGTTATATCTCTCCTTGTACAAAGAATTGCCCAATCCCACCACACAATACCTCATGTCTTGAAGCATGGTCTTCTGGATTCTGAAGTCAGACGCAGCTTCTTCCAGCCACTTATAAAACCATGCAGCATCATCTGGAGGGGAGCCTTCTGTATAGGTAGATATGATGAACACACAAATGTTCTTCCCATCAGTCTAGGTAAATACATGGAAAATCAGAAAAATATGTGATATCAGGAAACATAAAGATTAAAATAAATTTTTTCCAAGGAAGTAGGGCAGTTTACAAATTCTTATACTTTAAACAAGTAAAATATCTTTTATTTTCATTTATTTTATCTATAAACATAAAATATAGTATCATAACAACAAGAAAAATACAACACAATGTTTTATACCAAATTCACTTCATATTTTAACATCACTGATGGCATACCTCATCTGTAATATTATCTTCAGGATCATAAGTTTTCAAATCAATGACTTCACATTTTGTGCTGTGCTCAGAAGCTTCTTTTTTGATAATATCTGCAAATGTCTAAAACAATCCAATGTTGTTTTTTATTGTTTAGCATGAATTAATATTTTCATAATACAAAAAATATCTATGTTATTGAACCTGGTATTTAATGATACTACATATAATAAAGGTACTGTATTAAACCCTACAGTAAAAAAAGACAGCAAATATAACAAAGCAAAAGTGCATCCATGTCTTAGCATAGTTTCAAAATATATTTAAAAATACATTTATCCTTTTGTGTCTAACATTTCATATCTTACCTTTGCTGTTCCTGTTTGGGTTCCAAAGAAAATTTTCAAACAAGTTTCCTTTTTACTTGACTTGGCTTTATTCAGATTTCTTTCATCAGAATTTTTTGAAGCCTGAAAATGACAGAAAATAAAAATAAACTCAAATAATTGTTTTAAAAATTGAAAACATGACATAAAAAGTCTATGTGATTAAAAAAATTCCAAAACATCTACCAAAAAGGGGTTTACATATTATCTTAAAATTAAAACCAGGAAAAAGATACAAACCTGATCAGACAGTCTTCTCTTTGGTTTACCAGGAACAACTGATTTTCTTTGTTGGAAAGTCAACCATGCAAGTCCCAGAAAACCAAGTAGTATCAACAGCCAACTTTGAGATATGACTGCTGCAAGATCAGCAAGAAAAGTACCTAGGAGTAAGAGAGAGGCATAAGATGGAAACATTAATTTCAATACCTTGAAGTATAGACGTAATTATAAAAAAATACAGGTACATATTGTGTAAAATAAAGATTTGCGCTAATCTCTACAAAATGTTATAAGTCTCACTTGTCATTACTCAAAAAACCAATTATTCTGAGATTCTGTTAATCAAATGGTCCTTAATTCCTTACTCTGCTCCTCTATGATAAAAACCTTAAGTGATTATACCCCCTCCCCTTACATGTAAACACACACACTCCACATTTACGTCATACCTTCATCCATATTAATAACGAACACGAAGTTATGTTTGCTATTATTTTAGGAAAAGATCCATAATAAGTGTAACACGATATATAGCCCCTTTAATATAAATTTCCTTGGCCACACAAGAGCAATGACAAATCCACGTTTTCTCTGTTACAAGCTGTAAGATTGTCCGATAGAGGGCACAGAGGTGCAGTGTGGTAGTTGCAGTGTTGAGCAGTGTTGCAAACTGTAACATGCATTTATTTATTTATTTGTGTAATTGTATTTATTATCATATGCAACTTGGCAATACCATGTATATAATGGTTTAAATCTATAAAGTTCTTCTTCTTCTTCTTCTCGGCGTGTCTTGAATATCCTGGCTCTTCAAGTATGTCTGCGCCCATAACACGTTGTGATGTATGCCAACTGCTAATTTTTTCGAGAAAGAAATGGTAATCGTAATATGAAGGTCACATTGAGGCTGTTTTACACGCCTTCACAGTATCGACTTCAAGAGTAAAAGTAAAAGACAGACAAGCTGTTTTAGGTATAATCCAGTTTTGGTACTGACTGAGACGGGGCCATAGCGATAGTCCGAAGGCTCATTTGTCCGAATGTTCACTGTAGACTCTTCGGACCAATGAACCCTTGATTAAAAAATCGATGAAAATGTTACCACTTTTCGGACCAATGAACCTTCGGACCAATGAATCTTCGGACTATCGAGACGCCCCCGACTGAGACGGTGACTTGTTTTGAAACATGTCATGTGATAATAAGACTGTATAATAGCTTTCGAGAAATACGATTTACAAAGTCAAGATAGTTAATTGTTTTAATTTTCGTCATGTTGGTGATTTACACGAATAGTTTTCGATTATAGATTGTGATGTAAAAATTGTTTTTATTTTGGAAAAAAAAACTGCATTGTACTGTAATTAAGTGTCTTTGCTGATAAATTAGTTGAAGAAAGAATCAATTAACATTCATCAAAAATATGTATACCACACCAGTATGTGAAAATGTGATGCTAGTTAATTAGGGGTTGTCTCATTTCAGATAAGTCTTCCAAAATGCCAGTCAGGGTGAAACACAAATTTCATCCCTTGCCAACAGTGAGAGACCTTATAAAGATGTATAAAATTAGAGCAGAGAAACAACTAGCACAGAATTTTCTCCTTTGTACTAAAACAAACAGAAGAATCGTAAACGCAGCTGGTAAAATCAAGGTGAGTCAATTTTACAATAAAAGAAATATTCATTTTAAATATATTAAATACATGTAAAATATTTCTTTGACCATATATTACTACTGCTGAAAAGGCTAATAAGCTGAAAACTATGTAAATGTCTGTGATCATTTGTAGCAATTTTTCTTTTAGAATAACTACATATTTGAGGTTGGCCCTGGCCCGGGTGGCATTACTCGTGCCATTTTGGAGAAGAATGTTATAGGTCTAACTGTTGTTGAGAAGGATAAACGCTTTCTGCCAGGCTTAGAGGTATGTTGTACAGTATGTGCAGTAATAATTATTTTTTGCTATTATTATTTGTGAAATTGATTACATTCTTTCCAGTTTTCCTAAAAAGATAACTTGTGGAAGATGTGGGGTTGTTTATATATATTTACTGAATGAATACATTGTTTTGAAATAAATGCATCATATGTCAATATATATATATATATATATAGTTTATGTATGTATTGTTTTTTCTTATCCCATATTATGAGGAACTGACTTGAAGTTGCTTTTTTAAAGTCTGACCAATTATGTGAAAAAGCATTGAAACCCCCCCATGAAATGTGTATTCTAGTTTTTGGTTTATATGAAAAGATTATTTGCTTATATGTATATTCTTTACTATTTTAGTTAATTAAAGACACAGCCAAACACACAGAGATGGAAATTTTCATTGGAGATATCCTTTCATTCAATATGAACCAAAGGTTTCCAGATGAATTAAAAGAACAGTGGGAAGATGGTCTACCTAAGATTAAAATACTAGGGAACTTGCCATTTAACATATCAACTGGACTTATTTTAAAATGGCTGGAAGATATTTCTAATCAGAATGGTGCATGGAGCTATGGGAGAGTTCCATTAACATTGACATTTCAAAAAGAAGTTGCTCAAAGACTAGCAGCCCCTATAAACTCCAAGTTCAGGAGCAGGTTATCAGTGATGTCACAGTATCTCTGTGATGTCAATCATGTTTATAATATTCCAGGTAGGTGAATGTAAGCTTTCAATGTCACAATTTCATTGTGATGTCAGTACTGTTTGTGTCACCTTTTTATGTCTAAAAACAATGGCCAGTAATTGAAATTTTTTACAAAATGTTATTGGTCTGGCATCAGTTTTATGGACATTTGGCTTGGGGACAGTTTTATGTTACAGGATGCAGGTAGCTAAATATGGAGGTTGACAGTGATGTAATTTTGATGTCAGTCTTGTGTTTTTTTCCAGATAGGAACATGTAGGTTTACAGTATTGTAACATTATGTATATGTATATATTCGTCAGTCCCCTATCATTTGTTTGCACCTGTTAATTATAGTAGAAGTGCACATTACTTGACATTCTTTTAAATCACATATGATTCTGTACATAAAAGATGCATTGTTATAATATATTATATCCATAAAGCCACTTACAGCCTGAAGAAATGGGTTAAAATTCTCTTTCAAAACTACATTTCCCATAAAACAGACTTTCATTAATCAAAATTTTTTCTCCTTGCTTTAGCTGAGAAGTTTAGACCAAAGCCAGAAGTTGATGCAGGTGTTGTAAATTTTGTCCCAAAAGTGGAACCATTGATCAAGCAGCCATATCCATTGGTTGAAAAAGTAGTTAGACACGTGTTTCATTATCGCCAAAAGAGGTGCCAGAAAAGTATATCGTAAGTTTGCTGAAAAAGTTATAAGTGAATTGAATTTGGCGTCATTTCTTTCAACTAATGAGTATTTCCCATATTTTATGGACAGATTTTTGTTCTAATCGTGGTTCTCTTTCTTGGAATTTTTAATGAAAACTGTGTTTTTACTTGCAATTATAATAACTGAAGTCCCCTACTTCAAAAGATGCATGTAATAACACATTTCTGAGAGGGGAAATTTTGCAACTTTTAACTAATTCAATCCAGTCCGAGAGTATTAGTTTTGTTTATAGTTATATTACTATGCTTAAGCATTTTAAGCATAGAAGCTGCTTTATTTTTTCCAATTTTTATTTATCCAATAGGACACTATTTCCACCCGACCAAACAGTGGAGTATACACAAGAAATGATCCGAGCTGCAGAGATTGATGACAGAGCCAGACCTTTTCAACTTGCTATTGAACAGTATGCACAGTTGTGTGAGAAGTACAGTGAGATATGCCAGCACGATCCACTGTTGCGGGACTATGACTACAGGTCACCCAGCAGTGCTGCAATGAGACGGGAATTTAGGCACAGGAAACGGGAAGAAATGCTTGGAGTAAGGGATGAGCAGGCATCAACACAAGAACAGCACCTATAGCTTTTCATTTGGAACTTTTTTTCATGCAATGACAAGTTTGAGTGCTTAAGTGTGACTAAAAAAGATTTATGTTTTAGTGATTCATGATCTTTCTTGAAACAAGACTCTCTTGCTTAACTCCACCTTTATGTTCAATAAAATGCAAAGAATTCCCTTTTTCAAAGGAAGTCAACATTGATTGTTTAGATATAAAAATAATCCACTAAGGCTAGTTTTTGCACTGAAAAATTATTTTGGTTCTTTGAATCATCCCTGTAGGTTGAAAAATAATTAATATTTTTCATTACATTGTGTTAAAGACAGGAAATGGCAAAGGAGACAGAGCAGAAAGACGAGGTGCTTGGTTTAAGTTCAGACAAACTGCCTGTCCATAAAATAAACTAAACTAAACTATCCATGAAATTCAATAATATCAATTTAACTTTTAAGCTATTTATTTTGCCCACATAAAAATGGTCATTAACAGTTAAATATCATCTGTTCCCGAATTCATCTTTTAAATTATTTTATACATTAATATAGCTATTCTGGAAACAAAAGTTAAAATAAACCTCCATTTTGGAGGAAAGCAAATAGTTGAAATAAAAAGAACTTCCCTTGAGCACCCAGTGGTAAAACTATCTATACATTAATATCTTGATATTATTAGACCTTTTATAATAGTACTTTAACAGCAGTTATGTGAACACTACAAAGTAGCAGCACAGAGGAAAAACGTTTGCATCAAAAGTTACATAGTGCAGTTTTGTTCTTCCCCCCTCCCCCCTCCAACACTCCTACTAGACTTGATCAAACAAGTCTCATTTACTGGAAATTTCATGAGAAAATGCTCTTCAAAGCACTGCATTGTGGGCTCAATTTAAAAGTGCCATATGGTTTTCTAGGTAGTGAAATTGGCAGTCAAAATACAAACTGAATTTTAAGAAGTCTTATCAGCAATATTTCCACAAAGAATAACAGGAATATGCTTTCTGCTTTCTCAAATATCTTATATAATTGCAAACACATCTCAGATGGTAATCTTATATCTTAAGGGTATAAAGAAAGGGGGCATTCTTTAGAATTCCTCTTAAAAATTGCACAAAGTAGACCAAATTCCTGCTATGTAAAAACCTTCACAATGGTTTTACCTTGCCACGCATTCTTTACTTGATTTCTTTCAAACCACCTAAGAGATGCAGATGTTTATAGCCTGTGCTAACTAGCAATCACTCATATACACCACTTCCTTAGTTTGAATTAATTGGCAATTCGCCTATGTATCCACAACTTACTGCAGCTTCCAAGTGGTGCAGGAGAACACTGTAGACAATACATTTTTTTGACATACCAAACATATGTATTTGAATACAGAATCTCGAATTTAACAGTACTTGTAGACTTCACTTCAATAAGATAACATATTGCCCTACAAATAAACCTTTGACCATGCTTTACAATATATTGGAATGAAGGCAGTCTGTAGGGCTTCTTATGAGCACAATGCATTTTCACATACCTTTTCATTTTTATTCATATACAACAAAGCCCACAAATCAGCCTTGTCAGTAACAAAAGGATAAACATGTAAGAACATTCGTATCCCCTCTTGTAACTTATAATCAATGAAGGCCACTTGAACCCTAGTTCATCCATTCATTTTTTTTAGTAGTGGTTTGAAGAATCTTGTGTGATATACTCATATATACAAAACATCCTTTCACTTATGCAAAAGGTTTGCTCTTAAAGTAATCAAGCACTTGCAAAAGTGGCAGTTTATCAAGCTGAATATTTAAAACATAATTTTAAACAACAACTGATAATCTACCAGTACAAACTATTGTTCTGTGATACATGGCCTATATATCTGGTCCTTCATCAACCTTAACTGTAGGTAGATGTCAGTTTATCATACGGCAGTCATACAATTGTGTTGATCTTAATAGTTGATAGATTTCAATGAATGAAATGTTTGCCCTCTATTTCTAGTACAGTATGGATCTGGTGATTTTATTCCCAGTCTTCCCAGTCATCACCAATATCATCATCCTGAAATAATGTATTTGAAAATTGAATGTTAAACAGATTTCTTTAAATCAGTTTTTTTTCCTATTATAAAAACCTAATCAGCTTACATTTACATGGCAACAAGAAATTTTACATGCTGTCCCTCATAAATAACAATCTGAATGCAACTGTGTGTGTCTGTCTAACATATTACCTTAACTGCATTGGTTTGCAAGAGACAATATATCAGGTGTATAACGAACTCAACATACTTCAATCTTGGGAGTTCAACTCCCTTGTTAAAACATTATACATGTAAAAAAAAAAAAAATACATCCACCCACCTGGTCCCCTGTTCCTTCTGTAGCACCAATTTTTTTAGCGGCCTCTGCAGCCAGCTGCAGGTCTTCTTCTGTTACCTCAATGTCAAAATCTTTCTCCCAGTCATCTTCCAGACTGCTCAGTTCTGAAATATTGGGTAAGAAACTTTCTAATATTCATGTTTTGTCTGTTTAACATGGATTAAAGAGACAAAATGTTTCAATATTTTGGGAATCTTTTATCAAAACTACAAAAGGTCAAATAGTTTATTACAAAATCAACGTATCGAGATATTACGATCCATTTTCAAGTTGGTTTTTGTACTTACCCTTATTATTGCTTTCCTCAGATGTGGGTGTTGTCCTGTTAGACCCAACCATAACCAGATCTCCCTTTTCTTTAGTCTGGATGTCTTTCTGTCCTTGTATGTCTTCATCACTAGTCTCAGGTGATGTGGTGTCAGCAGCAGCTTTGTCAGCTGATGTCTTTTCATCTCCAGTAGTAACAGCTAAAGCCAATCGATCTGCGTCTTCTTTTTCTTTACGCTGCTTTTCTGCTAATTCAGCTTCCTCCTTTTCTTTCCGCTGCCTCAAGATTTCAGCCTCCTTTTCTTTACGTAACCTCTCCACTTCTTCTTTCTCTTTCTGTCTTTCAGCTTCTTCCTCTTTCTTTTGTAGCCGCAACCTTTCTGCTTCCTCCTTCTCCTTTTGTTGCCGCAATCTTTCTGCTTCTTCTTTTTCTTTCTGTTGCTTCAGTCTTTCAGCTTCTTCCTTTTCCTTTTGTAGCCGCAATCTTTCTGCTTCCTCCTTCTCCTTTTGTTGCCGCAATCTTTCTGTTTCTTCTTTTTCTTTCTGTTGCCTCAGCCTTTCTTCTTCTTCTTTTTCTCTCTGTTGCCTCAGCCTTTCTGCTTCTTCTTCTTCTTTCTGTAGCCTCAGCCTTTCTGTTTCTTCTTTTTCTTTCTGTTGCCTCAGCCTTTCTTCTTCTTCTTTTTCTTTCTGTTGCCTCAGCCTTTCTGCTTCTTCTTTTTCTTTCTGTTGCCTCAGCCTTTCAGCTTCTTCTTTTTCTTTCTGTTGCCTCAACCTTTCTGCTTCTTCTTTTTCTTTCTGTTGCCTCAGCCTTTCTTCTTTTTCTTTCTGTTGCCTCAGCCTTTCTGCTTCTTCTTTTTCTTTCTGTTGCTTCAGGTTCTCAGCTTCCTCTTCCTTTTGTTGTCTTAGTCTTTCGGACTTTTCTTTTTCTAGTTGCAGCCGAACTATTTCTGCTGCTTCTTTTTCCTGCTGCTGCTTCACTATTTCTGCAGCTTCCTTTTCTTTCTGTAACCTTAATCTTTCAGATTTTTCAGCTTTTTTGTTCTCATCTACTGTGTTTTGTTTTACCTCAGCTGGTGCGGAAGAAGATAGTTTCTCAGTTTCTGCTTTAGTTTTTCTTTCAGTTGATTTAATTTCACCTTTTTTCTTGGCAAGACTGACATTTGTTTGTTGGAATGTAGCAGCATCTTTTTGCTGTTCTTGTGAGGTTTGTATTTCCTCTTCCTCTTCACCCGAAGAACTCCATTCTTGCTCCCCCTCCAGCGTCTTCATCACAGTGTCTTTCAGCTTGCCCATAGACTGAGTAAACATACTAAACACTGCCATTGCTGCTGGTTGTTCTCCAGACTTAATTTCAGGCCCATCTCCTAGGTCAGTCTCTTTTGAGGAAATGTCACCAGTCTTAGCTGAGACTTGTTTTCCAATTTGTTTTGGTGCTGTAACTGCTTGCATTTTTTCATCATCAGTTTGCAGAACATTTTGTGAGGGCATGGAAGCAGATGCTGCTGCATCTCCCTTAACAGCAGTGATTTTTTCTGGTAATGCTGGTGACCTTTCTTTGTCTGGTGACATATTTCTTGTTGAGAATTCCTCTACTTCCTCCCAATCATCTAGAATTAAAACAACAGACACTTACACATCTTGTATTATAGGGGAGGCAGTTCTATTGTTTCAATGCCAAGTACAGGACCAACAACAACAAGCCATCACTTTTATCAAACTGTCCACAGAACTTTCTGAGAGAGTGATGCAGGCTGTCAATACCAAGTATATATCTATATTTAATTCATGCAAAATAACCCCCTTTTCTCACCATCCCAGCCCAAGTCATCCTCATCCCCAGCAGTCTCTGCTCTCTTCATCAAGTCCTTCTTTCTGATCTCATCCTCTTCCAGCTGATGCAGCTTGTAGAAGTACCTGCGCCAGAAATCAGCATGGGAAATCTCTGAGGGAACCTGAAGTGATGTTAAAAACAGAATTATATAGTGTTTAATACTCGTTTTATCTAGCATGAAGCAGCAGTGCTTGACTGCCAGATTAACATAAACACACTATCCTTTATTGGAATTTTAAAACCAATGAATAATAAATCCCTTTCACCTAAACACTAATGAATTCCTAAGAAAAACTTAACTATTGCTCTTTTGCTTACTACAAAAATTTTTAAATAAAATGGTGGAAAACTGACAAATATAAGCTGGTCAGTTACAAAAATAGCATTTGAATATCAACCCACTTACCAACTGAGTGTATAAAGACCGGACTTCCACCCTGGCCACAAGCAGCTCTGAGATTTCTCCCTTTTTTTCTTCCAACTGAAAATTTTCCAGCCATTCCTTATATTTTTCTGGGGGTCCCTCTGGTTCCTGACAGTATGTACCAGGATCAATCTGTATGGCATACACTCTGGCCTGAAATACAAGGAATTGGTTTTCATGGATAAAATTCAATACCAAGAGCTGAATGAAAAATAATTGTTTTATGTGCTGTGCTCATGTAAACTGATCCTTACATTAAAGAAAATGGATATACATTAAAAAAATTCATAAAAAATATTTGAGGATATGCATACCTGAGCCCTGTCATATATCACTCCTGTTGGAGTTATCTTCAGTTTCTGCTCGCCATCATCATCGGGAGGAACATAAAGAGCTTTCTGTATATTTCCTAAGAAATGTGTGATCCCATCTTTCATCATGTTGCCGGTAGAACCTGGCTGTTCAGTCTAAAAAGACAGAGCATGGCAGGTGACTTGTAATTGACTCATGTATTTAAAGCCAACTCCAAACTTTTCAAACACATATCTTAATATACAGTTTTCATAACTTGTATTTCCAAAATATCAAAAGATTTAACTGGACGTTTCCATAATTGCACTTTTTATTCCATTTATTTAATTTTAATTGCAATATTGTGCATCCATTTGAAAATCTATTTTCCTTTCAAATCATGAACCTTAAAATTGCATATCAAGTTGCTGCTTATTTCAAATCACTGCCAATGAACCAACCAAATGTCACCAAGGTGTTTCAAATAGTATAACTGAAAATTATCACAAAATTTAGTATCAGTATTACCAGAAAAATTATACTTGCACAGATATTTTTGCTTACTTCCTAAGCCTAACATATACCAGAAAGCAAAAGTAGGTCAAAATTACAATAAGAAATTAGAAGTAGGTGCAGGTTAGAGCTTTTTTCAGTTAAGTTTTTTCTGCACCCCAAGAAATAAATTATGGTTGGTATTTTGGCACGTGGATTTTATTTGTTGTGTATTTTTATAGTACAAGTAATTTATATATGCTACAGGGCATTCATTCTTGCTTTATATGTATCTTTATACATATAAAAGATACATGCATCATAGAAAGGACAAGCACCTAACATGACTCATCATACTATCAATAGTTAAATAATATTTTCCAGATTATCACAGAATGCACAGATGTTAGGAAAAGAAAAAGTATGTATTACATGAAAAGAATACTAATTAGAATTTTACTTTAAATAAAGTTATATTGACTATACAGTTTGACAACAGTAAATGGATGTTTTAAAACTGACATATACAAATCATTTTTGCAGCTATACCATACCAGCTGCTACATAATATCTACCATCATATTAAGAATAATTTATGGTCTGCATAGTTGTCAAAGTGACTAAGCATATACAAACATAGCTATAAACCTGATCTGTTCAGTTTAAGCTGCATAATACCCAGTGTTCAATTCCATCTTAATGTCATTTCAGCCCAACACAAGTACTTCAAAAATTTCATCTTTTAAGACTGTTTCAATAATAGTCTATTAAACTGCATGTCACTTAACACTTCTTGCCATTTTTACCATTTGTTCACATAAATGCATATATTTTCATAACCAGACGATAAAAAAAACTGAAATTTTGATATATTATTTAGGACATGATAATTTTTTTCCATTAAATTAAATTAGATAACCTGTTTAAAAAATTATATATATATATATATATATATAATTTCATTTGGTAAAAGTGCACTTATCAATAAAGAATAAAAGAATAGCCCTTTTTTTGGAGGGGGAGGGCTTGGAGCATTATTCAAATATTTTTTCTTTAAAAGTTTGACATTCTGTGCATTTATCTAACCTCATATACAATGATGGAATATACATGTGTGTGTGTGTTATATATCAATAAATGTGGAAAAGTGAATTGATGACAGCATTCAAACTATTTTCATGCAAGTTGCACTGTCGAGTGTTGCCACTAATGATAGATTGAAAATCTGCTCTCCCACTTCTACCATTCCCCCTATGTGGTCAACAAGGAAGTTTTGTTATTATGAAATTGCAAAAACTGTTTTTAATTACTGTAAAAACCAATGATTTTTCCTACCATATGTGTACTTTACTCTTCGTAACAGTGTGTTCTACATGTACCAATTCCTTTCCCAAACTATCTCATAGCCCTATGTGGGTTACATAAGAAACATAATTTCCCCTAATCATAAGGTATTCAGCAACTTACTGCCAATTTATCTTTAACCACTGAGGCAGATTTAGCCACCACATCCTTGGTCTCATTATGAACCACACATCCAAACTCTGCCAAGTCCTGTTTGAGGAATCCGACAGCTGAAACAGTCTGTAAATAAATCATGATAAAGCAAGTTAGTGTTTCAATACTAGGATTAGGATACTTAAATGTCTATGACAATTTAAACAACACTGCACTCATCCAAAGAGATCATGTCAGTCAAAAAATTTGATGTTGCATTGCTTACCAAAACTGCGTGATGTGAAATCGATTGCCATTTTATAATGATGATGTCACCTGAGTCAAAAAGTGCATTTCGTATGTTATGAATTTTACAATTACTTCGCAAATCTCACCTTGTCTTTGGCAGCCTGAAGCCATCCACCCCACCAGTCACCGCCATCAGACCTGCAATAAAATGACACGGTAAGAGTTACATAAGTGTGGACACGAGAAATACTTAATATACTACCTTTTCCTTGCAAGAAAAGTTATTCTTACCCTCCTTCGGCCATTTTTGTTTTGATCATACGGGTACGTCAGAAAATTGAGACGAAGGAGAATCAGGCACTGCAGTAGGAAATTGATAATAACGTTTACACTAGATCGTTGTTGTTTTGATATTTTATGTTAAGTCAGTCATGAATAGCAGAAGATAAAATTTGATGTGAATACTCTATTTAGTAAGATGTGAGGCTTGTAAGAATTTTTGTAACGAAATTCCGTTCGATGTTGATGTTTTGGTTATGAATAAAATTAGGACGGAGATTTACAGCGCCCTCTACAGGAAGCAGGTGGCGGGTGGACTAGAAGAAAGTCTACCATCGACGCTGCTGCATGATTATTAATGACGTGCCCTTTGCATTTGTGGGAAAAACATTCACTCATCGAGTTAGTTACAGTGTATTGTAGCATATATGTCATGTATAATAGCTAATATTACTAATTAGTGCTACGAATCTATGTTTCCAATAGTAATAACGTTAACTTAAAAGCCCTTACCTTACCATTGCATTGATTGTAGTTTGCACAAGTTGACAACTGTTTAAACTTTTGCAAATTGCAAACAATTTACATAGGTTCCAGGTGTGATTTTACACTGACGGAAATGGTATCACAAACGTAACGCTAAAATACAACTAGAACTGAAAATCAGTTATCGCCACTTCATTTTTCTAATGTTTCATAATTAGACAGTACCAGTAGTAGCTGTACATGTACATGTACCTTAGGTCGTACTAGAAGTGTGCATGCTTGCAGTCCCCCCCCCCCCCCAACTCTTTAAGAAGAAAAGTGATTAGTTAATTTTTATATGTAACTGTTGTTAGAACAATCACTTATTTAAACTTTGAGTGCATAACCCAGCTGATTAAAGTTTTCCTGACTTATGCACTTAAATTATTTTATTTAGAAAAGAAAATCTGACTTAGTCAGAATTTTGTTTTCTTGTTTCAGTTGAGTTGCCATTTAATCTTTTACACAAACATCAGGAATCATGGCTCAGAGCAATCCTGGTCCCATGGAACTTTTCCTTGCTCAGGCAAACCAGGAGATGACTGCAAGCCCAATGGACAGTGAGAATGATGATGAAGATGATGAAATGGACATAACATTTGATGATCTCTTGTCCCCTGGCCAGCATCCTTCTTCTGATTTAATAACAAAATATCTTAAAGGTTGGTGAAGATGCATTAACGAATTTTTCTTTACTATGACTGATATGATATGACATGAAGTGTATCAACTTACATGCATGTACATTATATGTGTTGAAGAACATTAATGTGATTATTGTATTGTAAGTGTTAGATACAGCATATCTCTCGTGTTAGTCAAAGCTAACACATTTACTAACAAGGCTTGTTATCAAAGCATGGTCAGGCATCATTTTACTAATATTAATTGCATAATAATTAAATTAAGATTAACATTTTGATATCAGTTAAAGGAAAAACACTTTGAATACTGTCACCCTATGTTATATTCATTTTAACCTCCTATCCTTTATAATGGTGTTCTTTAGGTGAAATGACATTTCTCCAGTTACAAGATGCTGTCAGGTCCAAACGACGTAAAGAGGAAAATGTTGTGTCCCTAGAGACAGCTGACCAACCTCTGGACATTGAGAAGCTGACCAAAATGGTCCAGGATATGGAGCAGTCTCAAAGTGGTATGTTTTAGAACTAGAATTAATTACATAAGGTATTGCCTGGGTTTTAGTGATTTTGAAATTAAAGGGCATTGTTTTAAAATATTTATGTACTTGATATAAATACTGTTTATCAGTGTGTTTTTATATATTTTTTGTCATTAGTGCACATATTTATATGCCACAAGATACCAAAAATGGGAGTTTAGCCCAAAAAATTTAGTAAACAGACTTTCGTGTTATGAGCAATCTTTTAGTTCTTGCCTGCCATCTCTGTATCGTTCTAGCTTGAAAATATCACTCAAGATCAATACAAAAGTGGCCTTCAAAACGTGTTGAAATTATGCTGTTGTGCAATACACTCTAATTCAACAAAAAAAGAAGAAAAAAGAAAAGTATAGGCTGTCTTTAGAAATAGATAATCAGAAGCTTAAAAATTGTGAAAATCTTATAAACTGTCTCTATAAAGACTTTTTTCGCTGTATTGATTGATTATTTGGAATTGATATTTTCTTGTACATTAAAATCTTATTCATCCCTCTAGGAGACTCTGATGCAGAACCCAGTGCTGAAACCAGTACCACAGTTGGTGAATTGCCTGCTACGCCAAGAAAACGGAGGAGGGTATGGCTTTATACATGTTTGTTAATTTGTATATATCACTTGATAGATAAATTACTTTAACCAGGCCTTATAAACAGAATAGGCGTTTGTGCTCACGAATCTAAGGCTCATGTGAGCAGTTATCATTTATGAGGCCTGTTCCCCCTCCTAGGTCATGATGGCGCTGCCATACTGAATCTGGCTCCAGTTGTCTCCATCTCTGGGAGCCATGTGTGAGGGCTGGACTCATGGCAAAGTGCTTTTTGGTTCACTCAGCGTGTTATTTGACAATTTTAAAGTGTGGTCCTTTTTGGGCTATTACTTCTCTCTGAGAAATTATTTCATTTTTCACTGGTATATTTATAACTTTATGAAAGTTTTAAAAAAATTATATTCATATATAACCACATCAAGGCTGAACTAAAAAATTACACAAGATGCAAAAGTTGATCTTAATTAGCTCAAGAAATCTAAAACTTACTATGATTTATCATCAGTTCATCATTGTCTTGTCTGAAAATATTTTTTGACAGAGCATTTCAATTGGTGGACTTATAGTAAAATGATCTTTGAGATTGTGAACAATTTCAGAGAGCCAAGAGGACTAAATTACCCAAGGAGCTCCAAGGTCTGATGGGAGAAGCCAACCTCAAATTTGCCCGCGGTGAAACCCAAGAGGCAATAGCCATGTGTAATGAGTGCATCAGGCAAGGTGAGGTTAAGGTTGGTTTTATAACAGTGTGATCATTCAGTTTGTTTGTTTCTCAATATTTCTTGTATATTTATATGCATAGCCTTTTAAGGGCTGCTGAAGGCAGTTTAAGGCTGCTCTTGCTTCTTTTTATTATGACATAAAGTTTTATAAAATAGAATCTCCACATTTTTTATAATTATGCATGTATATCTATTCACAATATACAAAAGAAGAATGAAAATAAGAAGGTCAGCATTTTCAACCATTTTTGTGCATTTGTAGATCATTTGCTTATTTATAAGAGATGATATTCCCCATTGTACTTGTATCAAGATGTTGTTGATTTGGTACTTGTACTGTCTTCTTGAAATTTGTAGTGCCCACTGCATATGAGCCATACCAGACTCTTGGAATGTTATATGAAGAAATGGGAGACACGGAAAAGTCATTGCAGGTAGGAACAGTGATGAGAAACATGAAAGGCAAAGTACTAAAAGTTTGCAAAACTGTTTGAAGCGGCTTGAAATGTTTCATATCTATATGAATCATAGAGATATGGTAATCTTCACTTCAACTTGTTTACTTTTTGCAAGATGGCTATTCTTGCCATTGGTCATTCCTTTGTTCATAGGCTTCACCGTTACTTGGACCTGGGACTTTGGGTTTTCTTATTCTGTTCAATGGCATGACAAAGGCCCCTTAGCTAGTTGGATTTGACTTCCATGTTCTTGTGCAGGTCCACCTGAACCTAGTTAAAGGGATAATAACTCTTCGTATGAGACCTATATTTCACAATAGAAACCTTGTGAATAACTCATAGAAATATAATATATTCTGTTTTACCAAAAAAACAGCAGTTATAGCTTTTATTCTGATATTTGAACTTGTCTTTAGACCACGTGACCTCCATTGATGTCTATACTCTGTTAAAATCTCTTAAGAGATTTTAACAAAAAACCAAACTTTTTAGAAAAAAACCAGGGACTAACTTTGAATGTAAAAATGGATTCATTAACCATTGGTAAGTATGGGAAAATTGTTGTTTACTCCAGGAAAATTCATTTTTTGGCCGAAACGAAGAGTTATTATTGCTTTAATATGGTTTTAGGCTCTAATCTGGACATACCTCCTTTTCAATTAGGGAAAAGCCTTGATTAACTATAATTACAGAAAATGCATATGGATTATGGCATCTCACAGAGTGTTGAAAGTCAAGTGCACCACAGGACCCGCCTTCCTCATCCCTCATACAGCGCAAATGTAGATAGCCTTCAACATTTTTTTGGTATTGACCGACAAGTATTATTATACTTTCCTGTTATCTACGTGTTCTTTTATATTTCAGCTTTCTTTAATAGCTGCCCATCTTAACCCCAATGACTCTGAAGAATGGATAAAACTGGCAGAAATGTCTCTTGAACTAAACAATGAACAGCAGGCCTTACATTGCTATACTAAAGGTAAGAACAATATCTGTTTTGTCTGAGTAGACTAAATCCTCAGTTTCAAAACTGATGCACCGTCCTTTTAATGGATTTTACAATACTTGGTAAGATTAAGAATGTGATGAGATAATGCATCTCATGTTTCAGCCGTGAAATATGACAAGACAAACAAAGATGTGATGGTTGACAGATGTAAACTCCTGGAGAAGATGGGTGACTTAAAGCATGCACTGGAGGGTTACCACCAGATAATGAACATACTGCCCAAAGAAAATGGTGAAGAATATGTCCAATTAGCCAGGGAGGTGACCAAGGTAACCATTAGTGTTAGATAATTGATGTTTTTGATTGCATGTTTCTGTGTTTGTATCTTGATAATTGAATTGATATTTACATTGTAGCTTGTATGATTATTCAACAAATTTGTTGGTAAATTCAATGTGTGAATTAAGAAGTTAAAACTGTCTTCACAAAACATAACAATGTGATATTCTGTGGCCATAACGAGTCATAATTATTTAAAATTTTTATGCTTACAGAACTATCATGAAATGGGTGATGTTAAATCTGCACTTGAGACTATGTCCAAAACCTTTCAGCTACATCCCTCATTTATCACATCAGAAGGTATGTCTTCTTTTCAAGGTGACAAATACTGTATGTTCTCAATAAAGCTTGTTATCAGCATTCAGCTTGCATCTATGTGCATCATATTTATTTTGTGCTTTAAATTGTTGCATTCTCAGCTTTCATTGTTTTATACCTATTTTCCAGATGTGAATGTCATGGTGGAGCTCCACATGGCACAGAAAAATTATGAGCAAGCCTTTCAGGTATGACATTACAACCGTTTTTTACTATTTTTGCACACCTCACATTCACTTTCAGTTATTTATTTATACCAATGCTCAGTGTATAAAATCATTACAACCAGGAGTTGAAAAATTGATGCAGAGCTGGTTGAAACCTGAAAAAAATCTCATCTGAATTTTTGCTCATTTACTTATTATTGAAACCTTAGACTAAAGCAATAAACAAGTGAGCTATATTGGCCTAAAATTATTTTCTTATAGTTTCTACATTTTCTGTATGTTTCAGGTTTTAATAGACAACTGTGGCCTTAAGCTTGAATTGAACATTCCTGATGACGAGGAACCTGTCAATATGCACAATGTTATTTTAAAAGGACTGCATCCAGTTAGGTAATTGACTTATGAGATTTTTTTTTTTTTTTTGGGGGGGGGGGGTAGATGCTCTGTCAAAAATTGTGAATATTTTTTTTTTTTTTTGGGGGGGGGGGGAGCACATATTTATCTTTCATCTTAAAAAGTACCCACTGAAAAAAAATTAAATGAATAAATGTTTTTCCTGTTCTTAAACCAGTCTGTCCCCTTTGCAGATTATATACTGTTTTTCTTGTTTTTAATGGGATTGTATTTATATCTCCATGTTTTGAGTTTTGAAAACTCTTGTCTGTGTGACACTAGCTGTGTAAAATTTGATGAAAATGTTTTAATGAAAAAATGGGGACACAAGGCATGTTTACCAATAGGTGATACTGTACTGTAATAATACCTTAAGTTGTTGTTTTTCAGTTGTCAGGTTCCTGATGTTCTTCCCATAGATCTGAGGGTAAAAGTTGGTGTTCTTCTTATCCAGCTTGGTTTCTACACGCCAGTAGAGGCAAGTACAGACTGTGCACTAAAATCATACTGAAAGAAAGGGAGTTTGCTTAGGATAAGCATAGACATAATTTTTAACACCCTAAGCTAATAATATTTTAATAAATCTCTCTGATTTTATAATGTTAAGTTATGGTTTTAGGCAGTTTTGTATTGAATTTACTTGGCTGTGCCCAAACAAATATTAATCTGTCAAATTTTAGAGTGTCCTGTGCCCATTGTTTGAAGAGACACCCAATGATTATGGAGACCTGTACCTGGATGTGGCTGAGGCATACATGGACAAGACTGACAACAGACTAGCAAAATCTATTCTCAACAAATTAGTCCACTCTGAAAAATACAACCTGGTAGGTAACAACAGTGTATTTATACAATATGGAATTTGCTTATATTGTATATTCATAGTAACTGTTATAGAAACTCTCGTCAAATTGTCTCTTTCCCACATGTAGCAAGTTTTATTCTACAAGTCCCAGTTACATTTCACTACCAGCATGAAACACCATTGAAGACATGGGCACATTTTGCAAAATAGTCCCTTTTGATAAGTATTTGATTTTCCCAGCCTGCTGTTTGGTTACGGTATGCAGAGTGCCTGAGTGCATTAGGAGAGCTCCAGATGGCAGCTGACGCCTATAAACATGTGGTTGAACAGGCTCCCTCTCACTACTCTGCCAGGGTGTCTCTGTCCAATATACAACAACAGCTGGGGAAGCCTGAGGAAGCTTTGAAAGCTTTGTCTCAAGGTAAGAGCTTATTAAATGTATCAAGATTTGGATATGATCTGAAATGATTTAGATAATTGTACCACCAGCGTTAGCACTGGCGGTACACATGGTTTCGGTCCCGTCCGGATCGTTCCGCCGGCCCGCCAGCCCCGCCGGCTCGGGCCGCTACTGTTACCCCTTCTCCTCCCAGACGGTAAGGGCCCCNTGCTCTTGCTTCATTTTATTATGACATACAGTTTTATAAAATAGAACCTCCACATTTTCTTTAATTATGCTTGTATATCTATTCACAATATACAAAAGAAGAATGAAAATAAGAAGTTCAGCATTTTTAACCATTTTGTGCATTTATAGATCATTTACTTATTTATAAGAGATAATATTCCCCATTGTACTTGTATCTAGATGTTGTTGATTTGGTACATGTACTGTCTTCTTGAAATTTGTAGTGCCCACTGCATATGAGCCATACCAGACTCTTGGGATGTTATATGAAGAAATGGGAGACACGGAAAAGTCATTGCAGGTAGGAACAGTGATGAGAAACATGAAAGGCAAAGTACTAAAAGTTGCAAAACTGTTTGAAGCGGATTGAAATGTTTCATATCTATATGAATCATTGAGATATGGTAATCTTCACTTCAACTTGTTTACTTTTTGCAACATGGCTATTCTTGCCACTGGTCATTCCTTTGTTCATAGGCTTCACCGTTACTTGGACCTGGGACTTTGGGTTCTCTTATTCTGTTCAATGGCATGACAAAGGCCCCTTAGCTAGTTGGATTTGACTTCCATGTTCTTCTGCAGGTCCACTTGAACCTAGTTAATATGGTTTTAGGCTCTAATCTGGACATACCTCCTTTTCAATTAGGGAAAAGCCTTGATTAACTATAATCACAGAGAATGCATTGGGATTATGGCATCTCACAGAGTGTTGAAAGTCAAGTGCACCACACGACCCGCCTTCCTCATCCCTCATACATCGCATATGTAGATAGCCTTCAACATTTTTTTGGTAATGACCGACAAGTATTATTGTACTTTCCTGTTATCTATGTGTTCTTTATTAATTTCAGCTTTCTTTAATAGCTGCCCATCTTAACCCCAATGACCCTGAAGAATGGATAAAACTGGCAGAAATGTCTCTTGAACTAAACAATGAACAGCAGGCCTTACATTGCTATACTAAAGGTAAGAACAATATTTGTTTTGTCTGAGTAGACTAAATCCTCAGTTTTTGCAACTGACGCACTGTCCTAGTCAACTACTTCATCTCAAATTTCCGGACTAATATATGTACATGCTTGCTTGCCTTGACTGAACTGGAATTGAAGTTTTATGGCATCAGACACATACAGGTCTAGTCTAATAGCCTGGTTATTGTGTAACAGAGTCATCTCTGTGGTGTAACAGTGTCCCCTGCTTGACACAGCCAATAGATTATTTTCTGCCTAAATGACAGAAAGCGAACTTTGAGAGAACTTGTGAAATGAAATGAAGTTTATCCCCTGTAGCACAATTGCGTGGTAGAAACTCTCAAAACATGCAGGAATAGCTGGTCCACTAAGATATAATGCTTGAAACTTGGCGCTGTAAATTTCAAACAAACTTGCCAGATGGTCAAAGTTCAATAAGTGTGCATATTTAAAGGTTCTAAAATGAATATTCTAACATGTATTGGGCTTAAAAATCAGAGTATTATAGATAGCACTTTTTTAAACAGATTTTACAATACTTGGTAACATTAAGAATGTGATGAGATAATGCATCTCATATTTCAGCTGTGAAATATGACAAGACAAACAAAGATGTGATGGTTGACAGATGTAAACTCCTGGAGAAGATGGGTGACATTAAGCATGCACTGGAGGGTTACCACCAGATAATGAACATACTGCCCAAAGAAAATGGTGAAGAATATGTCCAATTAGCTAGGGAGGTGACCAAGGTAACCAGTGATGTTAGATAATTGATGTTTTTGATTGCATGTTTCTGTGTTTGTATCTTGATAATTGAATTGATATTTACATTGTAGCTTGTATGATTATTCAACAAATTTGTTGGTAAATTCAATGTGTGAATTAAGAAGTTAAAACTGTCTTCACAAAACATAACAATGTGATATTCTGTGGCCATAACAAGTCATAATTATTAAAAATTTTTATGCTTACAGAACTATCATGAAATGGGTGATGTTAAATCTGCACTTGAGACTATGTCCAAAACCTTTCAGCTACATCCCTCATTTATCACCTCAGAAGGTATGTCTTCTTTTCAAGGTGACTAATACTGTATGTCCTCAATAAAGCTTGTTATCAGCATTCAGCTTGCCTCTATGTGCATCATATTTATTTTGTGCTTTAAACTGTTGCATTCTCAGCTTTCATTGTTTTATACCTATTTTTTAGATGTGAATGTCATGGTGGAGCTCCACATGGCACAGAAAAATTATGAGCAAGCCTTTCAGGTATGACATTCCAACCGTTTTATACTCTGAATAGAGTCTTTTTCACGGTCACGTGACTTCTGCTAAATTATCCGCGGGAACGCGAGATTTTGCGGGATTTGAAGTTTCAGGGGGAAAGTGTGGAGTGTACACGACGGACGCCATATCGAGGAGTGCTCATTTCAATCTGAATTTTCAAAGTTTCGTAACATGTTAACACCTGATTTTTTTCGAAAACATATTCATGGGAGCAGTTGGAATAGAAATTTAGCAGAAGTACCTGATGACTTTTCAATGAAAGAACTAAAAACATACCTCATCGACAGCAAAGATAGGACATTCGGTACTTTTGTAGTATACCCCCCCACCCTGTAACTTCCTGAAACTTTCATTTTTCAAACATTTTTTTACAGTGTCTTTTGCACCTATGTCAAAGCTGTTGAAATAAAATGTTTTTGTAATTACCTGTGGTCTTTTTTATTAGTTTTAATCACGTTTAATCCACCCCATTGAAATACAATGTGAAAATTTACAATGTAACCGCAGCTTGCTGCGTTTTCGTTGGCTAACTCTACCTTATTTTATGTGAACATAGGATTGATACATTGTATACTTGGATTTCCTCTGTGAAATTATTATGAGCTACTTGTTCACATAAAATTACCTTAGGGTTAGCCAACGAAAATGCAGCAAGTTATTGACTGTGAGTGTAAATTGAAGTTTCTAACTTTGAATTTCAATGGGCTGGATTAAACGTGATTAACACTAATAAAAAGTCCACAGGTAATTACAAAAGCATTTTATTTCAACAGCTTTGACATGGATAAACAATAAAATGTAAAAAACTGTTTGAAAAGTGAAAGTTACAGAAAGTTACAGGGTGAGGGGGGGGTATACTACAAAAGTACCGAAGGCCCCTTCTACTCTTTCCCCCTGAGAAACAGTCCCGCACAAAATGGCGCGAACTGCGCATGCTCACGATTTCGTGGAAAAGACTCTATTCCAAAATGGAAGGAATATTTTTGCACACCTCACATTCACTTTCAGTTATTTATTTATACCAAAGCTCTGTGTATAAAATAATTACAACCAGGAGTTTAAAAATTGATGCAGAGCTGGTTATATCTCATCTGCATTTTAGCACATTTGCTTATTAATGAAACCTTAGACTAAAGCAATAAACAAGTGAGCTATTTTGGGCCTAAAATTATTTTCTTATAGTTTCTACATCTTCTGTATGTTTCAGGTTTTAATAGACAACTGTGGCCTTAAGCTTGAATTGAACATTCCTGATTATGAGGAACCTGTCAATATGCACAATGTTATTTTAAAAGGACTGCATCCAGTTAGGTAATTGACTTATGAGATTTTAAGGGGGGGGGGGGGGGAGATGCTCTGTCAAAAATTGTGAATATTTTTTTTTTGGGGGGGGGAGCACATTTTTCTTTCATCTTAAAAAGTACCCATTGAAAAAAAATCAAATGAATAAATGTTTGCTCTTCAACCTGTTTGTTCCCTTTGCAGATTATATACTGTTTTTCTTGTTTTAATGGGATTGTATTTATATCTCCATGTTTTGAGTTTTGAAAACTCTTGCCTGTGTGACACAAGCTGTGTAAAATTTGATGAAAATGTTTTAATGAAAAAATGGGGACACAAGGCATGTTTACCAATAGGTGATACTGTACTGTAATAATACCTTAAGTTGTTGTTTTTCAGTTGTCGGGTTCCTGATGTTCTTCCCATAGATCTGAGGGTAAAAGTTGGTGTTCTTCTTATCCAGCTTGGTTTCTACACGCCAGTAGAGGCAAGTACAGACTGTGCACTAAAATCATACTGAAAGAAAGGGAGTTTGCTTAGGATAAGCATAGACATAATTTTTAACACCCTAAGCTAATAATATTTTAATAAATCTCTCTGATTTTATAATGTTAAGTTATGGTTTTAGGCAGTTTTGTACTGAATTTACTTGGCTGTGCCCAAACAAATATTAATCTGTCAAATTTTAGAGTGTCCTGCGCCCATTGTTTGAAGAGACACCCAATGATTATGGAGACCTGTACCTGGATGTGGCTGAGGCATACATGGACAAGACTGACAACAGACTAGCAAAATCTATTCTCAACAAATTAGTCCACTCTGAAAAATACAACCTGGTAGGTAAAAACAGTGTATTTATGCAATATGGAATTTGCTTATATTGTATATTCATAGTAACTGTTATAGAAACTCTCGTCAAATTGTCTCTTTCCCACATGTAGCAAGTTTTATTCTACAAGTCTCAGTTACATTTCACTGCCAGCATGAAACACCATTGAAGACATGGGCACATTTTGCAAAATAGTCCCTTTTGATAAGTATTTAATTTCCCCAGCCTGCTGTTTGGTTACGGTATGCAGAGTGCCTGAGTGCATTAGGAGAGCTCCAGATGGCAGCTGACGCCTATAAACATGTGGTTGAACAGGCTCCCTCTCACTACTCTGCCAGGGTGTCTCTGTCCAATATACAACAACAGCTGGGGAAGCCTGAGGAAGCTTTGAAAGCTTTGTCTCAAGGTAAGATCTTTTCAAAAATTTATCAAGATTTGGATATAATCTGAAATGATTTGGATCATTATTTTCAGAAATGTGTATAGTACAGCCATGCCATGAAGCAAAAATTGTCTAAAGAATACTGGCAAGTGAATGAAATAAATACAAATTAGATACAGCAGCAAAATATTTGAGTAGATGAGATCTAGAAAGTGAAGCGTATAAACTGTTTTGAATATTTCAGATGATGAAAGCTTTACAGAAGAGGAGGAAGACCTACTCCCTCAGGTGATTATACTATGTAGCTAACATTTTTATGGGTCAGTTTTAATTGTTGATTTTTATTTCTTTTCTCTTGATCAAGGGGGGTTTGAATTTACACATATGTAAATAATCACCATAACACAGGTACATAACTTTTTTTTTGCTGCAGGATGTACGTCTGCTGCTGCATAAATCCATGCTGTTGTGTTCCCAAGGCAAAATGGAAGAGTGTTTAAAGATCACAAAGAGGCTACTTTTTGCTTACAAATTAACACCAGCCATTAAAAAGGGTGAGTTGTTCATGCAAAATATTTAAAATAACTGTTGTTTTCTACTCTAATTACTCAGCAAGATACATTTGTGGAGAAACAGTGCAAAACATTTAAGGTGATATCATACAGTGTATGATCATGGACTTATGAATAATGTACACATAATGTTAATTTGTTTTCTTATTTTTAACCAATGTTCAAAGGATGTGCCTACATGTTTTCTTTCAGCCATGATGCATGCCCAAGCCCAGAAAGGAAAATTTGAAGCTATCAAAACAACCCTTGGTGTTGAAATAGAAAATAAAATTAAAACAGGCAAGTGTGTCAATAAAATTTGTTATTCCAGTTTAAGTTATTTAAAAGGCCAGAATAGGGTGATAATAAGTTTGTTTGAATTATGTAAACTTAAGTTTTGTACTTATGATTAATATACATCAAAATTTAAGCGTGCTATGTATGTATTTTTAAGGAAAATTCCATTTTATGAAGAAAATGTATGAAAGACGCAAGTTAATATTTTTTCTTCTTTATATAATAGATTGTTTTTCCTAGTTTAAATCACAACTTTAGCATATTAGCATGATATAAAGCATTGGTATTTGTGGAGCATCTAACTTTGCTATTTGTATTGTGATGTTATAAAAAAGGGTGTTGGTGGACTTTTTCATTGTCTTTATAATGTTTTTTATCTTCCAGTGCCAGCATTACAGAGTGGATCTGGAGTAACAGCAGAAGACCTTTGGGACTTGTACAACAAGGTATGAGAATTCAAAATAATACAGATGTTATAACAGTTATAGTATGGTTATCTTTAAAGATGATGTAGTTGTCTTGTTGGTAAGCTTTTTAATTTTAAATTAGTCTTCAAAAATAGAGTTACTTTTTTGGTAAACGTATTATTATTGTTTTTTGAAGAAACACAATTATTAACTTGCAGGTATATGAGGGTCTGGCTGAGAAAGAAATGTATCCTGAAATGGAGGACTTGTCCTGTATGACTTTGACATGTCCTGCTCTGTGCAATAACATCAATGACACAGAAAAAGAAAGGGTTAGTTCACTGTCACAGATGTCAGAACGTATTCTTTTCAAGATAATCACCTTTTTCTGATAAATAATCTTAATGTTAAATTGTTTACCAGTCTATAAGTGAAGCAAAATTTGAATAGAATTTGAATTGAAGTAGTTACTAAAGAAGGTAAATGGGTCTGGGGTATATGAGTAAGAACTATTATGACCGGAAATGGAAATTTTTTTTAAAAATGTTATTGCACCTGATCTCAGTTTTGAAAACTCCCCCCCCCCCTCCTCCCCAACTTTGACAGGAAAACTTAAAAATTGGTTCTGGTTTTAATCAGTAATCTTGCAATTTTCATTGCAGTGTATATATTTTATCTTATTTTTCAGTATCAAGAGCTGGAGTGGAAATGTCTGATTGCCTGTGTTCTCAACAAGAATGGTGAATTAGCATACGCCTTTATAAAGGAAATAGTGCTCAGGGTGAGTGATATGCACTACTTCTATAAAATGAAGCAATTTTGTACTTGTGGGATTACTGTCATGAGCTTTCATATTTGTTAAGTGTATGTCTGCATTAGCACATATTATAACACATAGTATGCAATTAATTTGATCTCAATCTTCATCTTACAGGTAGCATCAAGTAAACCATTATTTTATTTTGTGAGTTTCTTTTAAATGTTGATTTTTAGTATGTTGAGTTTCAAATTTACCTGGACAGGAAAGGGATTCTGTTTTCAAAAAATGATCATGGATATTAATCCTCATAAAAAGGTAAATGCTTTTTATCCTTTCAGGATATGTCAAACACTCCAGCCTGGAATCTGTTCTGTCAGGTGATCAGCTTGACCACTGACATCAGACACAACCGCTTTCTACTCAGAATGATGATGAAGGTAATGTTCTTTTTATTGGGCATGTCATCCACTGTTTCAAAAGAGGTCGGTATTATAGAGCTGTGCAAATAGTTTAAAGATTCTTCTGTACATTATATACTGCTTCTCAGAAGATGATATTATTATTGTGCAATTTGATTTCAGTATCCAGAAAACAAAGCACTTGGTATGCTGAATGGCCACAATTCATCTGTGTTTGGGACATACAAAAGTGCTTTGGGTGAGATATGCTTTTAAGTCATGAAATGTTATGATAAAGATATCACCTATCATAAGATAACAGAAACTAATAAATTTTGCCTGTGTTTTTTAGATCAGCATTACAAGCCAGGTTATTACCAATTCAGTCAACTTTTTTTAGCGTGTTTAAAACAAGTTTTTATTAATCTTATTTATAATGAATACCATTTGGGTATTAAGAAGCATGAAATAATCCCCTGGTATACTACACATTTGCAATGGGATACTTACTTTCCTGCTTCCAGTTAAAGTAATTAGCTGTAATTTTATAAAATGTCTACTGCAGGTGAATACATCTCTGTGTATCGTCAGGAGCCGGATAATGCCTTGCTGAACCTGGTTATAGGGATGACACTCATCAATATTGCCTCACAGAAATTCACAGCCAAAAGACATGCCACTGTTGTACAGGTACTTTGTAGAATATAACCCAGTGATGATCTTTCATGCTCCAACATTAATGAAATTAGGTTATCAAGCTACAGAAACTTAAGTTTGATGCTTTCCTGTAATTCAATTTAATAGCATTTATGGAAAATCTCTTGAAATGTGATGAGATGAAGCTGGTATGTAGTGTAAGGAAATTATTAATGAAAAACGCAAGAAAATTATTAGACCTCATCTGTATTACAGGGTGTGTCCTTCCTGAACAGATACAAGGAGCTGAGAGGAGAATGTCAGGAGGTTTACTACAATCTAGGCAGAGCAATGCAGCAGTTAGGTAAGCACCTGGTACCTATAGGTTCATTGTTTTAAACTTAAAAGGTTAGCATTTTATAGGCTACAGTGTAATACTCTACATGTGTATCCTGATTTGTGCAGGGTTAAGTAACTTGACAATTGCAAGATATAATGAGTGAGATTTTGTTTTGAGATTTTAAAGCATTCACACATAAATAAATGAACTCGCAAGTTTCTGATCAAAGTTCAGAAAATCGTTTTTGAGTAGTGACCATTTACTTGTATTGTGTATTTAGAAATATAAAATGAAATGTCATAAACATGGATCTACTCTCAGTTTCTTTATTTAGGCTTGTTTCATGCATCAATATTTTACTACCAGAAAGCCCTAGATCTTGACCCTGCTATTAGTGGAGAAGATCAGGTAAATATACATTCTAGGTACCCTTAAATGATTAAATATCTACCCATACCTACTGACTAAAATTGAGGATCAAAATATGTAATAAAAGGAAAAAAATGAAATTCATTGTAGTGTACAGTACTTTGTCTACATTGTTAGCCTTTTGTTTCATAGGAGCTCTTTGACTTGCGACGAGAAACAGCTTACAACTTGTCACTGATCTACAAGTCTTCAGGCTCCCCCCAGATGGCACAGCTGTTACTGCAGAAGTATTGTGTTATATGATCCAGTCTAGAGGTAGTCGGGCTGCGTTGTATGAAGTTACTGGTTCCAACACTAAGAAACAGATGGTGTCACACCGTCTAATAGCGTCCCTGGGGTTCTGCCACTGAAGTTGGCATAGACGCTACTCCAGTTTCCTTGGTCTCACGAAGACACATTTCTGCAATGTGCCAATTGAAAAACAGTACAGTTATCCATATTCAGTTTGCAGGCTGTGCTGAAGAAAGGAAGACCACATGCAGCAGAAGGTCAACCAACTAAGGCAACGTATCGGGTGCATAAACCTTGACGGAGATATTGGTGCTGAGGTTATTTCCACAGTATAAAGAGCCAATAGGTGCTGTAGTAAGAAAGGCATAGCTCTCAACTATTTGCCATAGCAAAAAAAAGTTGGCTTGAGTGTGTTTCCGAAATTCATGAGGCTTTTACTGAATTTTATGAAAGAATACAAAGTGGGAAAATGTTCTGATGATAAGCACAGCATGTAATAAAGCATGATAGCCAAACCTTGGAGACTAACAAGAATGTTGCAATGGGGTCACATAAAGATCATTTTACAAGTTGAAGCAAGTATGTATAAGTTTTTCTTCACACCATTTCAGATTGAGATCTGAAAACGATGACCTAAGGAAAGTAGCGTCTTTAAGTATTAGAGAGGGTATCCATTTTTCCTTCTCCAGAATCAGACTTCTTTGTAATGAAAGTAGACATCTGTCCTTGGATGATGTGAAACCGAAATAAATCTGCAAAATTCTTTGATTTTAAGGTGTTTTTGTTGGTTTCATCTGTATAGCAATCCTAAACTTCCACCAACTAGTTATTACGGATTCTATAATTTTGTATTGTTTCTGGAGAGAGGAAATTTTCCCTTTCTCAAATAACCTTTTTCACAATTTATGATGTAGCACAATCCACCGAATTTTCACACGTAAAAATTTTTTTTCTTAGCATCATCTTTTTGAAGTTGTGCTTTCCAACTGCCATACTTACGTTCGGCAGTTTTTTATATGGCTAAAAACAAGTTGGTGGAAGCATGCATTACTTGCTTTTCCATTTGGAAATCCCATGGTATATGCCTTTGAGACATGAGAACATGCCACATAAGCTCAAAATACAAAGATGAAGGAAAACAAAAGTCCTATAAATTGGAAATTTATTCTTTTATACATATTTTCTAATATCTTAGAAGATATAACAAATAAATAAATTAATAAACAGTGACAATCATCCTTTGTTAAAACGTGAAAATAAGGATTAGAGATAAAGCTAAAAGACAAAGCTTTGTTTAGATTAGATAAGTATTAACATATTACATCACAATAAATAACTGCTAGATCTAAATGTAACTTTGACAGCAAATTCCAAGATTTTACTGGAGTGAGGGCAGATGAGAGTTCATACCTGCCAATCTCTTATGTCTGCATGCAAACACTCCCTCACCCAACCCCCTCCAATCTGCCTTTGATCACTAACCATTATTTACAATAATCTATGAATAATAAATTAAATTAAATGTAATTATAAAACACTCAAGCCAATAAAACGTGAGATTAAATAAAGTTGGCACCATATACCAGCAGTATGTCATACATGCCAGAGCCCTGAGATTGAAAACATTCTACCTGGCAAATTCAAAAGAACATATTGTCGAATAATTAAATAAATAGATACAGATATTATTATTAACAGATGTTGGTGTAGTTAGAAAAAATTTTGGCCTGCAAAAAAAAAATTGCTGGCCTTGGTCCTGCAAGTTCCAGACAATTTTGAGAACTGTGTAAAATACCAAATTATAAATCATACATTTAACAGCACTGTTCAATTTTATGGGCTACTTGGGAGTGACATAGCTCTTGCAACATCTTTGGATTCCTGTCCTTCTGTAATGCCTGTGTCAGAAGAATCAGCTGGCATGCTGAATATTTCAGTAACCTTCAGCTTCTCGTTTTCATCTAAGTAATAATAAGCCAACACTGCCTCCTGCTGGTTGGCTTCATGAAGACAGTGTTCAAAGGTATCCACCAGCTGTTCACACATTTCATCTATGGTGTTGCCACCTATTGGTGGCCCTGTGGAAATTTCTCCATGAAAATCCCTGTGTGGGTTTCTAGCATGGACTTCTATGGGATTGTGACAATCCTCTTCTAGCATGTGGCGCATTTGACTGACTCGACTGATCGTCTTAGAAAGAGGATCATATTTGGCTAATGGTATGATATCTTTAGGAGAATCAATCCCACTTTCACCACCTTTCTGCCACTTTTCAAAGTACGTTGATGTGGTGTATGTTGCCAAATCACCCTGTATGTCAGGTATAAAGCCAGGCTCCTCACTAGCATATGCATCATTTATAGCCACCTGGCAGGTGTATCTGTAAAACAATGAATAAACATGAATTTGTAAAGATTTATAAATTTCCAAACATAACATGCAATTTGACTGGAAAAGTCACAAAGAGGGGTCTTTTTAAATAAGCAAACAAATAAAAACATAAGTATGATTAAACGGGCAGTTATTCTAAAATACTCTTTTAGTCTACTCCTGGTATATCATTCATACTTGAATCTGTGAGCAGAAACCCTGAGTGTCAGAGATAAAGGGAATGCCACAACCAGTATCTAAATCAGTAGGTGTAGAGGCATACTAATAATAGCAATGAATTTGCAGTAATCTCTTAAAACAAGGCTGCGAGCAGTACACTTTAGCTGCAATATCGCCCATCTTTTTACTTATTTATTAAAGAAGCACCTACCTAGCCATGTACTGTTGGTGGTGATGTTCAACTTTTCTTTTTATCCAATGGATGATCCACATAATTTCTTTTACAGCCCATCTCATATCTGATGGGATGTAAGGCATCCATTCTAAAATCCTTTAAAAGAAAACAAAAAACAGTACAGTACAGTATCATAAAATCATTGCATTATCCTTGAGAAGAGTTCAAATTCAACATCACATGTACAGGGTGACACCCCCCCCCCCAAAAAAAAAAAAAAAAAAAAAAATTCCATTAAAATAGGAAGGTCCATCAAATTTCAAGAGATTTACCAATATGTGTATAATGTGAGGAAAGTTGTTATCTTACATGCTAATCTTGTCACTGAAGCTTGCTTGCAAAGGGGAGTGCAATAAGTTTTTTATAATTTCCACAAAGCTTTTCAGAGTCCAAATAGCAGATATAAGTTATATTATGATAATGATTTACAGATTATATGCCAAAGAAAGATTTTCATTTGTACTGTCAAACATGACTGTGTACAAAAAGATTCCTTAACATGAGAATCTGCCAACAGAAAAATATCTGTTGACAGGTCCCACGTGTTTAATAAACCACATGTAATTTGTTGAATTTAGTACTTTTAGCATTCACATTTTATTCATAATCATTTATAGAGGTCAATTTGTAGGGTAGCTAAACTGTATGAGCATGAAAAATTAACTTACTCCCAGCCTTTGATCATTATTTTGAAACAAGTACACCATCAACTTTAGAAACTCGATGTCCTTATATCTTGTTTACAAAGAATTTAATGAGTTTCATGAACTCTTATCTCATGTTTACAAACATAACTCATCAATTAAGGTAATATGTAGCCAGCTAACCTTTGCTTTCGAGATCATCACTGCTTGAGGACACTTAAAGTGATTATCAGCATAGAATGCAACATGATATATTGTGCAAATAATAAGTCACCTTTTGGTATGCCAAGATGAACTTAAAATATGCCAGTTCAACAAAAGTGATCAGTGAATCAAAGAATTTTTAACATGGCTGCATTAACTTCCATAAAAATTTTACAGCATTTAAGTTCATTTGTCGATATTAAATCTAGATATTTAGCAAGAAGCAAGAGTATAACAACATGGCAGATTTGTCTTCTGTTCATTACTGACCTGAATGTATAATTATATACTACGTCTACTGGCAACAGAAGTGGAGAAGTCACGAGAGACAGAAGGCGGAAGCACTTTCTATTGGTTAACCTTGTATATAAGTTACTGTTCACAGAATCACAGGCTGCTTGTAAGGCTGAAAGTGAAAGTATGAGATCTTTTTTAATTAGAATATGTAGTCTACTTTGAAAAAATCCTTTTATTGAATACAGGAATTTTCAAAATGTTTAATCTGTTGTGTATACACTTTCTACTTTATATTCCATGTAATGATTTTCTTTCTTTGTTTCTTTAAATTCAAATGGCAGAAAAATTCTTAACAATCTTATAGTTGTTACAGTAGTCAAATCTGTTACAGTTATAAATCTAACCTCCAACAACGGGAGGGGGGAGGCTGTCTAATAGAGCCACCTGGACCTTCTTCTTGCATTCATGACATGTGTCTGGGTCATGGTCATCATGATCACTTTCACTGTCATAGTCACTGGTGGATGTACTCTCACTCCCTGCTGGACACTGAGATATACTTGACTTTATACTGAAGTGACGCACACAGCTGATCAATGCTGGAAAAAATATATTACTCTTTCCATGAACAAAATGGGCATTTGACAATACCGTACAGCTTAATATCAATTAATTTAATTTAGAAAAAGTTTCCTGTATAGTTTAAAAATGCTAGTCTTTATACCAAAAATATATGAAAATCTTGAATGCACTTAGGTACTGGACAAACTTAACAAAGTATTCTTTTTTTTTCAACAGGAAAATTTAAATAGTTGTGGATTTTATCAATGGGACACACCTATACTTACCATTTCTTTGCAAATACTTCAGAGCATCATCAAAACCTTGCCTGCACATTTCACTTAAGACCTCTGGGTGGGGTGGGAAGAGGGAGCGTGAAATCCTGTACAAATTGTTAGATGAGCACTGCAAGCTGGTGTTGGCCAGGTTTATATGGAGGAAATTGGCAGAGTTGTCATCTGGACAGATATCTGTTTCACCACAAAATGGAGACACTGTCACTGTGTTTTCATCAAATACGGGTAAGTTATCAGTGAGAACACCATCCACATACCTCTGCAAAATAAGAATAGGACATTTTAATGCCAGCATTAACCAAGCAAAAAAAAAAAAACCCTCTTACAGAGGCTTTTTATGGGCTTTTAAAATGCATGGGGTTTTCAAATATTGCTTTTAAAATAAAGTTGAACATTACAAATCTGTTTGTTTCACTGTTTTACTCCAGTGCACAAAATCCCATGAGCTACCCCCTTTCCCTATGAACCATGTGACAAATATAAACTAATCCTATTTTCAGTCAACTCTCTCTCTATATATATACATTTTGACTATGATAATTTACAGAAAAAATTATAAATATTTTAATCAAACTTATATCAGTTGGCACATGCATTACATACATTTCTCAGTGCACTTTACATAGGCCTGAAATAAACCTTACTAAGTCCAAAGTCCACAGCCAATAATAAAAGTCCAAAGTCCAAATGAACATGTTGTACAAATGCCAAGATATCTAAACTAACAGAAAGCAAACAATGCTATCAGAACAGTGCACTCAGTGCTTACTTTGAACTTCCAGGAAAAATTGTAGTAGACCCTGTACAGTAATAGTGGTCAGTGGGAGGCGGGGGGGGGGGGGGGGGGGGGGGATCAATTATAAAAATTTTTTTCACTCAAAAAAGTCAACCGTGATGGTAACCTAAGTATTGGCACTACAAACAGAAAACCTATTAAAACTTTTAGGTAGGGATTAAAAAGACAACTAACTAATGAGTTAATTCACACTGATAAAGTTTTTACTCAATTTTTTAAAATAATGTTGTAACTAGTACCTTGAAATCACACTTGCACAAGACCAGTTTTTGTCACCTTTTATAAAAACTAAAATATTTACAATTTAAAATCATAACTAATCTCACTTATTTGAAGTGTGATAATAAATTTTAGTGTTGTAAACAGTAATTTTACTCACCACTCCTTTGAAAGATGGAGGCAGCAACCCAGAGTAGAATGGAATGTGTGCACTACAAAGCAATGCCTGAGGAAAAACAAAGAATCTATAATCAACACATATATCATCAACAAATAATGCAACATCATCATGTCTCATCATTTTGTTCCATTTTCACTGCAAAAGCAAGCAAAATTTCTCCAAACCTTCAATCATCAATCCATCTTAACAATTATTTTATACTTTACATTTTATATTTTACTGTTACTTGATTTTTGGTGCCAGTTATCTCTTTTGGCAAAAATTACTCTTTACGCAGAACAGCTAAAGCAAATTAAAATTGTATCTTTTTTAGCCAGTATTTCACAAAATTTGAGTGTTATATATAGGACATTATTTTGTAATAGTACACCTGCATCACTATTACCTCTATCAATTCTTCATTTGATTCAAATTGTGACACTGTTACATTGGCTCTATCAGAAACCCTTGTCATAGATATGTATACTTTATTGGTGCAGATTTCATATGCATTAGCTGGGAGGATGGTATTGAGGCCATCCTTCAGAAGTCGGACTAAGTGAAAACTAGGATGTAAGGGTCCCAGTGCCCTGGCACGAGCTTTTGATGTAATCCGTAACCAGTAGCTGGTGACTTCTCCTAAAAAACAAACAAAAAGAAACAGTAATCACAGCATGGGCATTGATTCAGGAATAACATAGATATAAATTTACTGAAACCAATCAGAATATTTCCTTAAAATCTTAGAATAAGCAAGGGAAGAAAAAAATGCTGGCTTAATATAGGCGGTGGTCTAGTTTATTAATGCAATTCAAATTTAAGTAACTAAAACTCGATTAATTTTTTCCAATACTGAAATAGGAGCAAGTGACGTTTGCTAACTGGCTGTCACAATTACATGCTGCTGATATACAGTGTACAAGTGTGGACGTTACACTGCATGCCGTTTTACTTCTGCTAGTGTACATGTATCCTCAATCTCTTTTAGAAGCATTCGCATAATCCTAGCAAATATTGCATCTATTTTAAAATTTAGTAAAGCTTCTTACCTAATGGACAATTTGTTACAAGGCACACTGCTGCTAACGCCCCAGCGCTGGCGCCTAGCACTTTGAAATCAGGGTCAGATATCAAATGCGGTGCATGTACTCTAAAACAGCTAGCAACTCCTACATGATATATGCCTAAAAATCCACACCCAGAGAAAGAGATGTTCATGTTCCCTAGGATCCAACTATAATATCCTGTTTCTCTTTTCAAATGACTTTAAAAATACAATTTTCAGTCATGAATCCAGCTCTTCGTTTCTCACAGGAAAACTCAGCTCTGTCCAGACTCTTACATGTTACGCAAAATCGTATGTTTACAACTTCTGTCAGACGAAGCTTTGATTGGCCAATAATTGTGTCGTGACCCTCAAGGTCAACACAGGCATGTTTTATATTTTGAAATCTACATTCACTCTTCGCTTTAAATAGTCATATTTGAAAATGATTACAAAAATATCATTATAGATGTTTTTGATAGTTATAGTTTTGAATTTGATGAGACAGGTGCGATAGTCAATAACAATAAACTGCGCAAATCTATGTTGCCGGTGAAAAATTAAGGCAATATGGCGGGAGGAAGCATGCTGAAGTAAATGCAACGCCGTTATGCTTTGATAAGTGATGCTTCAAAGTACGCATCAGCTTTAAAATGGGAGAAAGTAAGTACCACAGACAAAACTGCATTTGTGAGAACAGCCAGAACAGCTTTTCCTCTTTGCATATGCGATTTGGCTTATGATTTTTTTTTGCAAGAAACTTAATTAGCTGTTCGGTTTATAGTTTATACATCATATGTAAAACTTCACGCTCAGTCAGGGTGGGGGTTACCTGTTTGACTAAGGTGGGATGGGGTTGGAGGTGCATTTGTTGTCAAGTGTAAAAAAAATTTTTTTGACCCTTCATGTAGGTTAAACATGCTGCTCATATTCTCCCATTGAATTCATGGTTCAGAAATTTGAATAAATAAATGTTTTAAGATTGTTAAACTTTATACCAATGTACATCTACATTGCTCAAACAATTGTAACTGTATACAACAAACATGTCCATGATGTGGTAGTAGCAGGATAAAAATATCAGTGGAGGTTTGCATAGAAATGACCTATTATCATCGACAGCAAGTGCAATGTCCTTGGCACTGAATGGAATCAAAACAATTAAAGGGTTACTGAATGTTCCCGTGATAACATTTATCTGTCATCAATTATATATCAATTATTATATAAGTATATTACTTTAACCTTTGCATTATTATCCTGATGAAGCAACTAATGATTGCTTCAGTTTTATATAAGTGTTATATATGCCCATTATAAGACAGTTTTGAATTTTATTAATGAACTTTTTGCAGCATGGAATCCTTCCCCACCTCGGGAGTTAACTGAAGAAAATGCAGAAATATTCACTGCAGACAACATTGGAAATACTGTATACAGCAAACACTGGCTCTTCACTACTCTCATGAAACTTATACAGGTATTTTTTTAAAGATTGAAGACAATGATTAAAATAAGCAAAAGATAATGATTGCTCAGTGATATAGCATGTCTTTTTTTGTTAATTTGTTTATTTTGATAAAGGAAATTTTATGAGCCCCTAATAATAATATTATTATTTTTTATATTTATTTATTTATTTTATTAAAATTATTATTTTATTTTTTTGTTTACTCACATAAAATTAGTAAGACAAGCCTATTAATTTTGGTATATTTTATGCACTCTCTTTCTTCTAGGAAGTAGACAAACACGAAGAAAATAAAGATCAAGAGCAAGAGACAGAACTTGGAACCGATGTAGATGAAAATTTGCAAGATGAACTGTGTAAACTGTGGGACATGTCCATGGACATGGTATGCAGTATGGACAAGATTGTGCACCCATTGTCTGTTTTAGATGATGAATAACATATAAAGATATTAAAATATCCGACACAACATTGTGATGAAGTAGGATGTTGCATTTTGTAATACCTTGCTGATATTAAAATATAAATTATATAAACACATGTGTACTTAAGTTGTAAATAGTTATAAATTATTCTGCTGATTTTTCAGGAAGTGGTGAAGTTTCTGATGGAGTTCAAGGCAATAGAAATTCTTACTGGTGCTATTGCCAAAAGTAAGGCACCAAGGATCACAGTAAGATTTATTTTAATTATTTTTGTTGATAAAAAAAATTGAAGAAAAAATATGGAGTAATTTATTAAAAGTGAAGCAGTAAGATCTTTTGAAAACAGTTTTCTCTAATTAACTTAAAGAGTAATGAGTAAAGACTGATCAATAATGCAATCTTTTATATTTTATGGAATTGTTTAACAATCTTCCCTTTTTTCTAGGAAATTTGTGTTGGTATTCTGGGTAATATGGTTTGCGATCCAAATGCCAGTAAAACGATGTCTGAAAACAGCAAATTGATGTAAGTAATTATTGGTACTAAAGTTATCACTTTATTTATATCAGGGACACATTATTCTGATATAAAATGGCATATAGTTGAGTCCAATATCATTTTGTCAAAGTGTGCCACGATCACTGCCACCCTTGGTTCTTGTCATCAGAAGAAAAATTTTATATTAAATTATAGGCTGTAAAGTGTTCTGCTTCAGTTCTGTTTTTATGCCTTGTGCATAGTGTCCATTGTACATAGACTTGTTGTCAGCAGTTTCTCTTTTGTTCTAGCGAGTTGAGCTTGCTGCTACTTGAAAGCCCAGACTCTCCCACTTTAGTTGAAACAACAAGGTAAAATGATTGTTCTGTTGAAAAGATGAAATAAATAAATGTGTATAAATGTAGTCTATTCTTTGTCCTGTCATTTGTGCCTTACTTTTTGGGGTTAATGAAGTTAGTAGGGAAAAAGCCTTAAATGGCCCTCTTGCTGTTATAATAAAATAATAAATTTTTAAAAAAGGAACATATGTTGACAGGTTTCTCCACACTTGTCTGTCCTCCTCATGTCCAGAACCATGGATCACAGCCATAAAAGAATCTGAGCAGGTGATGGAGAGTGTTACATTTATCTTCAAGAGTTCTACAAACAGTAAGTGTCAATGTGTATCGCTATATACTAAACCTACAGCCAGGTCATTTTATGATTGGTACATTAAAGTAAACTGAAAAAACACACTAAATAAAAGAAAACATGGGTGAAGGTGAGAAGCTGAAAAACCACCAGCTCTTGGTTTGTTAACTATACTCTTTGCCTAGTTGTATTGGTAAATAATAGATTATACTACATGCTGGATATCCCAAGAAGTTGACCAGAATTCAAGGAAATCCTACATTTTTTCTTCAGATGATCTTCTCAAGAATGCAGCATGTTTTGTGGACAAATTACTGGACATGAAAGAGAACATCTGTGAACAGTGGGCCACAGAGAACTTTGTATTGGCTCTACTTGAGGCCATCAAACAAATAGGGTAAGCCAGTGGGAGATTCCTTATTGATATTCAGTTTTCACTTTAATTTACAAAGATTATCTGCATCTGACCATTTGAATTTGATGTTGTATAATATATGAAAAATATGTTTGTTACTAAATTCATAGCATAAAAACCTTGATCTTCAAAATGTGATATGTTCATATATAATGATCTTGATAGTGATTTTTGCTGCATGTGGTTTCTTTTGCAGCGCCAAACCAAGTGAAATGTTAGAAAATTTTTTCCATATATTTCAACTTTTAACAACTACACAAGAAGGTGTGCCTGTCATAGGTTAGTGGGATTTCTGTAATTATTCTACTTACTTTATCTATTCTAGAGCAGATCTTCCAGTGATTAGTGTGTGTGAATTTCCCCTTTTTTAGCTTAAAAGACTTAAATAAATGTGTGTAAGTTTATTTAGACTGATCTGCAATAATGGGTGATTTATTATCTATGAAAACTGAGTTATATAAATGGGTTAATAAATTATTTTTAAAACTTTTATTAATTATTATTATCATTTCAATAAATCAAATTTTCGGAAAATTAACAGGTATAATACTACCAGTGTAATCAAATACTTTCATCTGCAGTTAGCCAGAGTGACTTCATAGTGGAGCCCATCATGAAGTTTTTAGTCCACCTTTGTGAGGATGAAATCATCAGTATCACTGGCCATGAGAACTCCATTGCATCAGCTATAAGTGTACTTAACACTGTCCTCACCTCATCTGAGGGCACCATTGCCTTACTTACAGAAGGTAATTGATTAACACGAAAACATACATGTAGATCAACATATTTTCATTACCACAAACTTGTTTTGAATAGCAGAAACATCATAGAACAAAATACAGGAAATAGTTGCCTGATTACTTGAATAAAGTTTTTTTTTCATGTATTCTCTATTTATTTCCTAGTTATAAAGAAAATGTTAAAATTTAGTCTGCTATAAAAAAAGGACAAAAAGTACATTTAATTCCAAAGAAAAAGCAACATTTACATGCTTCCACCTCGGTTACCATATGCTTTTTGACAAGCTTTCAATGTATTTTTATTTTCCTGTGCAGATAAACAGCTAATGCGTTGCCTTCTTAAAGTGTTGGAGGCAGCCTGCTGCAAACTTAACAAAAATGCTCCCCCAAGACACAAGTCTACAGATCAAAGATCTGCCAGTATATCTGACAGCAAATCCTTGGAAATTATGCAAAATAAACAAAAGCAGCCAAACACAACAGACTCCGAAAAGACAGGAGATGAAGGCACACAATCTGACTCAGCTGAAAGTAATGCAACATCGAAAGAAACCAAAGTGACTTTCTCAAAACCACAAGAAGCAGAAGCTGGTGGAGATGCTGTGTTTGGAGAAGGGGGCAGAAATGGTACAGAGGAGATAAAATCTTCATCTCAAAATGATCTCAATCGCTCAGACAGTTATGATGAGGAGGCTACAAAGTTGTTATACTCAGTGCTGCAGGGCTTCTGTAGAGATGTGGTCTTGGCTTTGCATCAGGTGAATTTTTACGTATCTTGTTATAGTTTGTCATTGTTGTTTAAACATTCACAGCAGTTCTGTCCAGACTTGGTGTTAAATATATATTGCCCAGGAAAGCATTTTATGGAAAACTAACAGTATACTTATAGGTTTTGTTGGGATTAAAGGTAAATGAAACCAAGCTTGGAATTGTATCACAATGGAAAGTTGTTAGGTGTCCTTATTCTGTATGCAATTTGATGATTTTCAACAACAATTAAACTTTAAACATTTCAATCCAATGTGAAGTGATTATATACACATTTTGATTTAATATGTAGCTGGAAGACCCAGATGATGAAGATGAAGAGAACACAGAACCTGAGGAACTTATCACTCCAAAATGTCTTGAGTACATGGAGACTTCATGTAGTAGGGACCGAATCAAGCATTTACTGAAAACGCTAAGAAAGGAGAAAAAAACTCAGTCTAACGTCTCAGAAGATGATGGGGACGAGGATATAAATCATTTACAACTGTTTCAGGATGTTGCAGAGAGATATGATATGGAGAGGCTGAAGAGAATATACCACGATGCATTGAGGACTTGAATGAAAATGACTTGTTATTTTGTAAAAAAATGACTGATATATTTGTTATTATATTTTTTATCCTGATAAGGACTGATAAAACATTTTTTTCATGATGATTGATGAAGCAAGGAATGGATATGTATCTAAAGGAGGTCATTATAGCAGGAATGACAAAATCAGCTTCATTTACTGTCATCTTAAAGGGAACACTCATATAACATATTGTCTCTTGACAAGCATGGTGAAATATTTTTGTTGCTTTACCGAACAATTTGAAGGGGCTTTGTCATAGCAGTAATATGTTAATTAAAAATATGCAATGTGCTAGAAATCGAGCTTTTTTTTCTTTTTTTTTAGGATATAAAATGATTTGTGAGTTCTCCAATACGCAGTTATTTTAAAATGCTTGTAAAATATATGAAGAATTTTTAATAAGTGAAAACTGTAAAACTGGTACAATTTAAATTACAATTGGATAGAATACTGATACTTAAACTTTAAACTTTTTGTGGATCTGTTCTTAGTAACATGCCTGAAGATATGTATAACTTTGCACAGATTTGGTCATTTTAATCCAAGGTTTCTATTTAGTATATTTTAATATTGCTACAGACTTTAGTTACAGCTGAAACACATACTTGTTGTAATTGCAATAATAGATGACATCATTGTTTATTATCAAATAAGTATTTTGCTATATATTTTCTTTGTATTAATTACAGTTTTGTATATATGGACAAAAATACAACAATGGATATGGTGAAGTATGGACAAGGGAAATCATCTGAGGAGGCCCAAAGTCTCGCTTAGTCTTACTTGGTGTAAAATCGAGTGAGATTTTGTGAGATTTGGGAGTGCAGTTAGAAATAATGGCAGACTAGGGAGTGTGGTGCAGCAATGAATAAAATCTGACAGTTTATCCATTGATATTTTCTGTTTGTTTGTGCTGTCTAATGACAGTCTATTGCACAACAGTACAAATTCATGCTTTTTGTGTCACTATTGCTTTTTAAGACAATGTAAATGGTACATACAGTTTCACTACCCTCTACCAGGGTGACAGATTGATTTTCCACAGATATGTCTATAGATAAATAGACAGTCATTTGGCTCTGAGTAACCAATTCACTCGATTCAGCAAAAAATGCCCACAATAATAACTGCGGCCCTGGTAAGGGTACAGTTTCACCCTTATCAGTAATATAATTCCACTCTGTGCAGATTTTTGCATATTTCCTAGTCTTATATTACGTCACACTGTTCCAACAGGCTCAAGTGATTTCCATTTCCATGACAAACTTTTGTCAATATTTTATGAACATGAAAAGACATCAATTTGGAAATGTTTGTTTTTGTAGAGTACTGTTTACATCAGTCCCTTAACTTTTCTTCTCTGAAATGCAGTATTTTTATACTTATTTACTAAAAAAAATTATATTGTATTATACCATTCCCCAAAATGTATTGATCCATGTCCCTTCATTTATTTATTTATTTATTTTTGATTTAGCAGCATTTATACCAGGTAGTGTAACATTTTTCTTTGTCATGAAATTAAATATAACCGTGTGAAGGGGTTTGGTGTTACATATAAGAAATAGTTATTTTAATGTATGCAACCCCCTTATTCTGTTAGCATAGGGCAGTAGGTGACAATTTCCTTTGTTGACTTATATAAAACCTTTTTAGAAATGCTACCAGCTCCTGTTTTTGATTATATGGCCACTAAAACTGTTGTCTAGTAACCTTTGTTATCATGGATAGTTGAAAAAAATTGGCATTTTATTTGAACATTATTACCTGTCTGCATTGTTCAGAGGCATAATGTCATTGTTGGGAAATTGATTGACAGCTACGAGCCATTCAATCAGTATTTTGTGGAAATAGTTGGGTTTTCTGATATGCAAGATAAGGTGGCATCTACTAGTACTTTTTATCACTGTAGGCTGGGCATTCTGTCAAGTGGGAAGAATTTGATGTGCAGTCCTTTGAAACACACTACCTCATTAATAAGTATAGTTTGGTTTATTATCAGTGTGTCAAAAACACGCAAGTCAATACCTGACAAAACTGATTTTATCATACCTGTCCAACTGAAGTACCTGTGAAGGAGAGATTGTAAATTTACCGATAAGTATTTCCATTGGTTACTTGGGGAGTCACTGATCTGGATTTACCTTTTGTCAATCAGTGCAATGTTTCACGCTGTCCGATCAAAAGCATGTCAGACTTTTTTGCATTTTCTGTAGTCACCATTTCAGCTTTATTTTATTTCCACACATTCACGGAAATAAACTACTATTACTTCTACTACTAGGCTAAATTAAAGTGTAGACAAAATACGAGGCGCTGAGCTTTACGCTAAATATTACCGAGTAGATAATTGGCGAGGTAATACATGTATTTAGCGTAAATCTCACAATCATTTTAAAACTCGTTACAATGTTGAAAAATAGGATAAATCACCGAACAACGATCGTGGCTCGGTACGATTTAGTTGTTAGTTGCTACTTCCTGTTTTTCACAAGGTTCTTAAAGGACTCTGAAACATCGTTATAATTGCAGCAGATGCCATAAAACACCAAATAATAATTAGATATGGGCATATCAGATAACATGCATACAAAATTGCATATGACAACGATTTACAATCTCGCGGGACTGTTTTCCTTGACGTTCTTTGTTCCGCTGTTAAGTTTTCATATGTCCCATATTTCGAGAAGTATTCACTGCCCAAAATACCAAAAATAAAAAATTATCTTACCATGCCGTTGGAAACCCCGCTCTAGCTCTGTTCATAAACCCTGACGCTCTAAATGACCAATTGCACTAAATAAGGGGATCCTATAGAATCGTGTACATGTAGATCCCTTGAATGTAGCAGAAAGTGGCGTGTTGAACACTACAACAAGCACATACAGTTTCATCCTTACCACTAATAAGTTAACTCAACCTCATGCAGATTCACGTCACACTGTATCAACAGCCTCAGGTGATTTCCAGCATTTGATAACTTTATGCCAAGTGCGCTCATATATTTCTCTGTCATAAAATGAAATATAACTGTGTGGTGGAGTTGCAAGCTCCCTCATAATATTCCGTTAGCATGGGGCATTTAATAAAAGAAGCATTTTGCTTTGTAAACCTGCATAAGATATCGAAGCAGTTGTCATGCATTAAAAAAATTACTTAAGTAAAGTGCAAATAAGTGCGCCCAGCTCACCTTATCGAATGTAGTCCTATCACATTTTGAATAATGTTAAAAGTACAGTATCCAGGCGAGAATCGGTCCACTTCTTTAAATTCAAGTTGACCTTATTACAACAATGTATGCTTTACTTAGGGTGCATGTTTAGTTTATACTATACATGTCAGCTTTCAACATAGCAGATATTGTGTTATGATATAGTGGCAGGATGGTATGGTGGGCGGGGTGGCAGTCGCCCAGATTTCGATATTTTTGTGGAAAGAATTTTTGTGGGATCTTTATAAAGTGTTAGCCCTTTCCTTTCTCACGGTTTTTTCCTTCAGTTGGCATCTAGATAAGTACCTCATAACCTGCTTGTTAGTTTTACATGCAAGAATTTGCAGCTATACAGCGCACACCTGTAGTTGATAGTAGGCCTACTGTACTTGTACATCTTTTAAATATATAATTAAAAGGACTTTTGTCAAAAAAAAAAAACTACACTATCAATATATCACGTTTTGCATGGTGCAGATGAAAAAAAAAAGAACTTTGATTTAATTAGGGAAATAAAAATATATATATGCTGACATTATAATATCGAACGAGATGGCACAGACCGGCTTTGAACAGGAACCTTCATCGCGTGAGGAAAACGTACCATTTACTATGACCAATCAGCGCGTAAGTCGCGGACAACGCCTTCGAGTTGTGTGCTTCCTTATTTAGTTGAATGCGTTCTCATATAAATTGTCTAAAAGGCATGATTTAAATAAGACAGGTTGACTTAACTTAACAGTTGCATTAAGTTGAATAAATCGTCAGAATATTCGAGCCAACTGATATGACTGAAGTCTGAACATCGAAGGTCGATTAACCCAAAAATCAACCAATAGGAGCTGCCCGATTAGTGGTGCGTCATCATTAGGCATAAACACACAGTACACCATAACATCAGCGGTGTGGAGGGTCTCTTGGAAGGGGAGACTTGGATCGCAAAGATTTATGACTTGGAATGTGTGAAGTATCCATATAACTGGGGTGATACAGAAGCAAAACTACCCAAGGGAGGTAGAATATGAATATCTCTTTTGCCGGTTGCGGTTTTTTAGGAATTTACCACGTTGGAGTTTCCAGTTGTCTCCGAGTGCATTCACCTCATCTGTTAGATGACCCTAACTTCAAATTACTAGGAGCAAGTGCTGGCGCTATAGCTGCTGTTTGTTTGATTTCTGGGTGTCCTCTAGGTAAGTATGGATCTGAATACCGTGTCATTTCCCCCTAGATAAATCCCAGACGCTAGAAGTCTGATAGTTGAAATATCTACTGTATATTGCGGTCACTTAATGTGCAACGTAGCAATTCGTGAGTCATATTATTAAAGTGAGATAATTGTACTTGTTACACAACGTCTGACCTTCACCTAGAGTTACTTTGGTTAGACGTTGTATTTTTTTAATTAGCTTCATTGCTTTTTTACTACTAAACTAGCAAGATCTGTGTTGTCAGGTGTGTTCCTGCAAATGTCAGTTTTCACTCTAACATTCACCAGGTCATTCAGTAAACACTACACATTAAGTTTGAAATCACATTAACGGGCACAACAGATTTATGTTCAGATCGATTTTGCAATAACTGAGTGCAACTCTATACCATGTGTGGAGTCCCAGTCACAAACTGTCCAGACAGATCAGAAGTATCATGTTATCAAGGTGTTATGGATTGTTACATATTATGACTGCTTAGGTGCAGCAATCCTATAATTTGGTAGATATGTCACTGCATTCCAAGTCAAGGGACAGAAATGTATAAAGAACAAATGCTGTCTACAAATATTTAACTGCAGGTTATTTTTGTTTCAAACAAATAAGGGGAAATGTAGAAATGCAAATTATTATCAAGTTTCTGTTTCGAAGAAAAACTTGTAAGAAGTAGAAGTTTTTAGGCTCCTTGCCAACAAATGCACTCTTTTTTTTTATAGCTTTTTATGGACTTTGGACCTCAATGAAGTACAATTGTGTCAGTCACATGTTTGGAGTATGCAAAAAACTTTAAAATACAGTATGAGAATGATTTGATAATATTTTACAGTGTTTCTTAACAGCATGAAATGTAAGCATGAAATGAATTGTGCTTTAATTGCTTGCTGTAGCTAGGTTTCTACATGGAGTGCAGTGTAGGTAGATCGGGTTATATATCAAGGTCAAGTTCAAACAACCTATCTTGGATCATTCTAGACTTCTATTTATTTTGGCCATAATATAGATAATTCTTTAACAAATGAATTAGGTATTGATGATAAACAGTTTACTGCTAATACATTCTCTTCAGCCAAAAGAAATAGACTTCAGAAATACCTTCTAAGCTTATAAATGTAAAGCTGAATAAACCAAATGTCTAGTTGCATCCAGCATAGATTTCATAAAAATAGTCTTTAGACCTATTCTAAGGGAATACTTTCCTTGTTCATTCTTGGGGGGATGTGCCGTATCATCCTTAAATAACCTTTTCAGCATCCTTAAATAACCTGTTCCTGTTTTGTTGACATAATTCAGGTCAATTGCAGCTAAAATTCAGGTTGAGTGCAGACTAACTGGTTTTTCTGAAGTTGGTAAAATTGGTTAATTAATTAAAAAGGTGTTACTTAAAATGATGCAGAATATCACTGACAAATTGAACAGTTCACACTGGCTCATGCTGTGGACAAAAAGTTCTGCCTTTCCACATGGCACAACATGTGGCAGTGAACTGTGATAGATTGATTACTCAACATATTGGTTGTATGACCTGATAACCCATGGCCCAGTAACCCAGCATTATGTTGTATATCACAATTGTAGGTGACATGATTTTATACAATTGACCCGCCCACACACACACACACACACACACACACGAAAGACAAAAATTGTCAAATTGCTCTGAGGTTATTTAATCTTTGCAAGGAGAGATTTGACCTTAGATACTCCCATATCAATTGTCAGAATAATCTGAATTTATGGGAAATATTTCCATGCAGAAGCAAGTTATTTGAAGGATTATTTAACTGAAAGTTATCGATGGTCTTTTCTTCTGTGCTATAATACTATATCATATGTTTGTTTTCAATGATATTCCAATCCATTTAGCTGTCCATAAGTGATAAAATTATAAAATTTTATATTACAGGAGAGTGCACCAATTATGTCCTTCGTGTAGCAACCAAAGCCAGATCCAGATCTCTAGGGCCTTTGCATCCAAGTTTCAATATTGTCAAACTTTTACAAGATGGGCTCAATGAAATTCTGCCACCAAATGCGCATGAAATCTGCACCAACAGAGTTTATATCTCTATGACAAGGGTTTCAGACAGAGCCAACATTATAGTGTCTCAGTATGATACAAAAGAGGACCTCATTCAGGTATGTTATCTACTATGAAGTTATATTTAGGTTTGCAGGCACTGAAAAATGTCCTCTTACCTTTAACAGATTACAGACAACAACAACAAAAAAAATAAAATAAAATAAAGAACTAGGAATAAAAATGTGGGCTGCTAAACCATGATTTGTCATTGCATTGATTGTAGAAATTTATTGGATACATGCAGCTGTTCATATTAACTTAAAATAGCATTGTGGTTAGTTTAGGTCATAAAACAGAAAATTCTAGGTAGACATGGTAAGGCAAAAGGCAAAATTATGGTCACTGGGTCATTTGAAAAAGTGCTTTATCTAGAGGTCAAGTTGTTTTCAGGTGTGTTTTTCCTCTGGTCTATGCTTACATGTGGCACTGACTTGATAAATTGTTTTTCTTTGTGTGGCTCTCTGGCTGTCTGTCCTTACTAACTTAATTACCTAATGAGCGGCTGAATAGATTAAACTTAAGATATTTTCATTACACCTCTCTGGCCAATTACAAAGACATTTTATCTATTTTCTCACTAGCTAGTCTGTAATTTTATTTTAAACCACATGCTGGAAAACTTGGTCATGGCTGGTGGACTTGTATGTGAGTATCTAAAAGGAACTTGTGTGTATTGCTGAAGATATGAATCTCCATTCATTTAGGCCTTTGTATACTTACATACTGGCTTTTTATATACCTCTGGTCAAGTTGACTTAAACAAGATATAGTGGGTCTGGTTCATACTTTTGAAACCACTCTTAGTGAAGATGATTAGGTCTTTTGATTTGTGGAAAAAAATTCTGTTGAAAGGGGAAGGGGGATCAAAGTAGGTATAAGGTTGTTAATCTCCACTTGCATGTGAAATAGTTATGTTTACTTATAAACTTATGATAAAATAATATATAGGACTGTAATCGCACAAAAAAATGGAAATTTGTTCAGACAGTGGATGTCATTGAAGTAATATGCTCCTTATTGTGAGTTTATTTTAATCACATGGTTTTCATTGTCACACAGAGTATTCTGTTGTCAAACATCATCTGTATGAATTCTTTGAAATATATTAATCAAATTTATAAATTCTTTCACCCATTCATTCATTAATTCAATATTTATTTATTTTATGAGCATTTAATATATCTGAATCAAAACCACAGATGTCAATGAAAGACCATTATTTTAAACCAAAAAAAAAAAAAAGATAAAACACCACATTCTTATCTTTCAGGCTTTGCTTTGCAGTGCTCACATCCCTTTCTACTCTGGTTTACTGCCTCCAGCCTTTAAGGGAGTGGTGAGTATTCTGGAGATTTTTTCTTCATGCCACAAAATATACAGTTTTCATTCACTAATAATAAGATTCACTTATTTAAAAGTTTCCAATGCTATTGCATACTGTTCAATGGTTGAACTGCATACCAGATACTGTTATAGAAGTGGGCATTGTTACATGATTGGTCCTTCAAATTTTGTATGCATCATGCTTATTAAAGTAAAAGTAGTTTTGCTTTGCAAATGGATGATACTTAAATTTGACATAATATTTCCACATTAAAGATGTAAATACACCACTTGTTTATTTTGGAAATAAAAAAAGATTAATAACTTTAAAATTGTTTATTTTACTTTTCAGAGATGTGTGGATGGCTGTCTCAGTGATAACTTACCTGTATTTGATGAGAACACTGTGACAGTGTCTCCATTTTGTGGCGAAACAGATATCTGTCCAGATGACAACTCTGCAAATTTCCTCCATGTCAACCTGGCCAACACTAGCATGCAGTGTACATCTAATAATTTGTACAGACTTTCACGGGCTCTCTTCCCTCCTCATCCTGAGATACTAAGTGAAATGTGCAGGCAGGGTTTTGATGATGCTCTTAAATATCTGCAGAGAAACAGTAAGTTTAGATTTTTGTTCCCCCTGGCAGATCTTTTATGATACTATATATTTTCAGACTTTGCCAGAATAAATAACAGATTAATCAATCATGACAGTTGATTTCAGTATTGCTTTTGAATAAGTGCAATGACTAATGAATCAGTTGTTTTAATTTGTTTGGATATTCATTTTACAGCCTTGATCAGCTGTGTGCGTCACTTCAGCATTAAGTCCAGTATCAGCCAGTGTCCCCCAGAGAGCCAAGTCAGTGGAGAGACCAGTGACTATGACAGTGAAAGTGACCTTGATGACCATGATGACCATGACCCAGACACATGTCATGAGTGCAAGAAGAAGGTCCAAGTGGCTCTCATAGATAGTCTTCCCCTTCCTGTAGCTGGAGGTATGAAAACATTTGTGAAGTGACAATTTTTAAAAACCTTTTAAGACTGTTAATGTTTATTTTTTTCAGAAGATTGAAAAACTGCAGTAAAAAAAAAACCAAAGGCACTTGCTGTGAGTCATAAATAACCTAACCCCCCTTCTCCAGTTCAATTGAGCATTATGAAATGAAAGTTTGGTTTCTACTGTTTCAGCACTGCAAGCAGCCTGTGATTCTATGAACAGTAACATATACACAAGGCTAACTAACAGGAAGACCTTTCGTTTACTGTCCCTGATGACATCTCCATTAACACTGCCAGTTGAGATGATATTTCACTATTCAGTCAGGTCAGTATAATCAACCCCATGGAAAAAGATAACTTATGAAGGGACATAATCCTATTTGATTTAATGCAGAGGACTATATCAATTTTACAAACATAGCCAAGCTATTGATAAAAATATCAGAGAAATAGGTTTATTTGGTGAAATTTTATAAAGACTTCAGATCCATATAAACCCGTGTTTTACTCAATACGTAGTTTGAAAGGCAATTGACCCAGTATTTCAGACTAGTATGGCACTTTATCATTATGGCACCTTTTTATCAGTGTATGCCAACAATTAATTATTTATTGGGTATAGATAATACATGGTGGCGACTGGTATGTTTTGCTATGTTTTTCTTACCTAATATTTTCCTTTGAAAATTATTATGAAGTAAGAAAAATGAAATTAGCAAACACTGGAAGGAAAAATCAAAAATGTAAAAATGGATCCTGTTTAAGGTTTTATCTTTATCTTCAGGTTTCTGGAGTGGGTGCCATATCTCCCAGCAGATGTCAGGTGGACAATAAGGGAGTTTGTCCAGTTAATTCAGTTGTTAAGACACAAGATTGAGCATAACCGCCATCAATATAGTGCAAGGTATAATAATAGCATGTCATTTATACTGACTAACCTCTGATTTTCCGGTGTAGTGGAAATTCTATTAAGTAAGACATGAAATTATTGCTATTACAATGCAAGGTGTAAGTGCATTGCATTTGTTCTTTATTAAAATATTATTTTTTATAAAGGTATAACTGCTGTACTAGAACTTTGATAAAGGTTTTGTAAGTGAGAAATTAAAATGAAACAATGATACATATTAAAGATGTGTAACACACAGTACAGGGTGGTGAAGACCTAATAGTATTATATATTCATCTTTCACAGGTTCACCTGCCAGTTGGCCATAAGTGATGCATATGATGCTGAGGAGCCTGGTTATGTTCCTGACACACAGTCCGACTATAAAACATACACAGCATCAAAACATTTACGCCACTGGGATATCTGTGTTGAGAGAGAAAACTCCAACCCATACGATGTCCCGTTGCCATGCCACGATCCAATACCTCAGATCTTCCACAGAGTTAGTCATATACGCCACAAATTAGAGGAGGACCATCACCACCATCTTGAGGTGCATGCTAGAAACCCACACAGGGATTTTCATGGGGAAATTTCCACAGGGTCACCAATAGGTGGCAGCCCCCACAAAGATGATATGTGTGAACAGCTGGTGGATACATTTGAACACTGTCTCCATGAAGCCAACCAGCAGGAGGCAGTGTTGGCTTATTATTACTTAGACGAGGACCAGAAGCTGAAAGTGACAGAAATATTCAGTGTGGTGGCTGATTCTTCAGGAGCTGGCACAGATAGTGCCTTTTGTAGTGACACTTCCAAAAATATAACATCTAGTCCTTTGTCTTTGTCCACCTCCCCAAAGTCCCAGCTGGAACTTAGCTGGGACAACTACGTGGAAATGAAATCTGATGGAGAGTTTGGATATGAAATTGGAAATTCCAGGTGGATTGACAATTCAAAAAACGATGATAGCCCCATAGAAATATTAGAAAATCCCAGGTGGATGGATGACTTGTTAAGTGATGAGTGTCCCATAGAGCCATATGCCCATACTGGATTTTCAACACCCGAATATGATTCTGATGAGATTTTGTCAGATCTCAGACAGTCCCTTGAAGAAACAAATCAACAGTCAACAGACACATTATGAAAGCTTCTTCCGAACAACTTTTCTTCCATTGGTTATCATATTTCAGGTTGCCTTTATTAATCAATGAAAAATGGTCGAATGTTACATGTTAATACATAAATGCATTTTTTATATCATGTAAAAGAATAAATTAAAAATACATTATCAAATAATATTTACAGATATTTTACAATGATTCCTGCTCAATATGATTTCCTAATTGAAAGATCCATTCTCATTTATTTATTTATTTATTTATTTTCTTTGTGTGTTGCCAAGCTTCTGACTATTTGTTTCCGTAGACGGTGGAACTGTAGTAGTCTTATAATCGGACTGCATTGTTCCCACTGCACGTTGGCGGTGAAGGACACTTTCAGGTTTACAGTGCATACATGTCTAGACCAAATTAGCCACTAAAAAGCATGTTCATTAATTTTCTTCCTTTGACTAATTGATTGCTTTATATGGCTATGATTTGCCTGTGATGTTGCTGGATTTTTTTTAAAATATTTGACTAATTTTGGACGCCAGGTTATTTAGATTAGAATTTTTGTGTTAATTATACTAATGCACAGTTTTGTGTTTTAAGGTGCTAGCTTATCTATATGATAATTACAGAATAATTATCGCCAAATATGTAGCTATAAATTTTATTAACATAATAGATAGGTCGGAGGTCAGAATACGATTTAGGAAGACGTGAGGTATTCGGATTATTGGTTCTCAGATTATATAAGAAAATGAATGCATTTTTCTAACTATAATAATAATATACATGTAGTTATGTTGAACGCATACCAATTAATTGTTAACTGTTTTATATTCTGCGCTAACAAAGGTGTTATATGTGGGACTGGATTCTCTCTTTATGCCGTGTTCACTACTACTATTGTACGTAGACTTACATATTGCACTACCTCCGTTTGTTTAGTTTCGTGAAGGTAAAGCTGCAGTAAAGTTTGAAGGGGGGGGGGGTACCACGTAACGCACAGTAAATTCATTTACAAGCTTTCTATATATGGAGTCGGACAGTAAGTACGACCCATTGGTTGAAATGGGACAGTAGAGAGGACATTTAACTATGGTATACATTGGTTTCCATAGAAGATATATTTATATTTATGTAAACGCATGGTTCTTCCCACTTTTATGTCATCCATCTGTTCATTAACTACTAGTCAAAAATAAATGCAAATTCTTTTTCGTAATCAACGAGTCAATTGTTTTTGATGACACGAACAGGATAAAAAGGACTTGTCGAAAAGGGACGCCACTCCCGAGGTCTTCATTGATTCACATTTCATCAGAGCAGCCGTAGGTGAGATGAGCATTTAACACTCAAAACGGTTCACCCTACCGGTGTGACAGGAATGGTAGTCCGCTAGGAACCGTAGTCAGTTTCCCATTACTTTGTACAGGTGACATTCGTCCCATATTGTAGCCCCAGTACTCCGACTAACCCTAACCAGTACTAACCATCGTGAATCATATGGGACAATCAAAGGGCTGCCATTCATATCAAACCGGACTCGGACATTGCTAAATTAAATATATAAGACTAAAATGATTAGATGAATAAAAGCACCCTTAGAATTGTATATATATGTAACTAATGCAAGGAGTCAAATATAGGTCCAGTCAGCTATCATATCAGCATGACATAGCAAACGCCGTGGTCATGCTTCTTCTACGAGAGCGATGACGTGCACTGCCGCGTGAAGTATAGTATGTGTTTCCCATTCACGTTGTTGAGCACGTGTTATTTTTTCAAATGGAAGATTTTCGTTGTAAATCTCCACAATGATTCACAATAAAACGGCAATGTTTGGTTATAAAATAAAAATATTTTTTTTAAAAAAATGTTGTTTTGGGAGATATTATTTGTGTAGCATTCCGATCCTATGTTCAACTAACCAAAGATAAAAGTGCATAATTATTTCCATGGTTCGACTTGTCTGTCCTGGTATATCAGGATACATGTTACACTTCAGGCTATATTTTAGGAACAATATCGCGTATTGCGGATAAAATTATCGAAAACACCACTATGTGTAGCTAACCTGATTTTACTGCATTTAAATTCGGTTAATGACCTGACCGATTTTAAATTGGGTTAAGTAACTATGTCATTGTTTTATACTGTATATTAAGTACACTAAAAGGGATCGTGGCCTTTAAGTCCAGCTATATATTTTTAAGGTGCCTATTCTTATATCTCCAAATTCTAAGAAAACTTATCACCCATTTTTAAGCTATATCATTTTTCAAAACTGCTTATAGAAAAACTAACATAACATTGTTTTATTTTAACAAAAACTTTTCTCCGGTACCTTTTAGACGTTTTAGATTTGATGGTTTCGCAAACATTAAATTAAAATGCGTCCAATAAAACTGTGTTATGTCTAAGGTGGTATAGAACTTTTAAATATCCAACGTAGACCACAGACTCAAAGATATATTCTTGTTGACACCTACTGAAAAGATTGCTCTGGGAAATGTAACATACAGGTAAGCTATTTGTAGTCCTAAAAAGTTTATAGGCTAATAATGCTCCATTTTTCATCACGATAAAAAACAGACCTAAAACTGTTTAAATGAAAGCAAATTTGCACTTAAAAAGCTTATCAACGGCTCTCTAAAAATAATCACTTGCGTCCGCGTGTACTTATCACCGACAACCACTATCTGGGTTGATAGGGCGGCCGTTATATAACCCGGTGACCCATTGTTTGTTAACCTAGTTTTACTTATCATTGGGAGCAGGCCATTAACCTTTCAGTACTTTGGCAGTGGAATGACAAAGTTGCATTCAGTTTGTGAATGATTCAAAGATACATATGAAACCGCTGTGAATTTCTACAATTTCCATTTACACAGGAAATTATTTTACTTACTATTTTTGTGAAAGGGGGGGGAATGAATAAAATTATAATACTAAAAATAACAAATAATCATTGAATGTTTTATCAAAGAGTTACAACAGTAACTCCTTGGTTTTATCGCCTCGAGAGACCGCCAGATTTAGTACAAAGTTATGATGAATTAAATGACCAATCCAACAATTGACTTTACCAATTCGGACTGCTGGTAGTATAATAATGTTCGTATATATTTGTTGATCTCTTACCATTTACACTGTGTTAGTTGCACTAAGAGTTTGGTGTGTTAGTGGTATGCGCGTGCAATGACAAATTTTAGTTTTAGACTCCTTTTCTTTACTTAAATAAATGGCCACTGACTAAATTCCTGATTCAATGTACCATCCGTAAGTCATAAAAACTAAACCAATAAGGTCTATATTCTACATTTCACCACAGCCGCCACAGAATAGTTCTTTGACGGCACAAAGACATGTATATATGCATTATTTTGAACTGCAAGAATAGTTTATTTCAAAACACATCTGTACACAAATGACAGCAAAGACACCAATCAGATTACCCTGTTTTGAAATATGTCTCGCCAGAATAAGATACTGAGACTTTTACGTACATTTGCCGGATGCAAGATTCAGGTTATCTATAGCGATGTCGCTTCTGTAGTTGGTGCCAACAGTGCCTTCCAGGTAGAACTGCAAGATAATAAGATATCCGTTAAGTGTCTTTGAGCACGTTTACTTTATAACACGAATTTCTTTCGGGACAACAAACTACTTATGGATTATTTTTAAAAAGCGGAGGATGCTACGTGTTTGTTTTTCTTTGGAGAAGAAGTGCCATCTTAATAGAAAATATACTTTGGAAAATACATAATGTGCATATGACTCAGTTATATTTTCATTCATATTCACTTACACTGAACGATCCGGCAGAACTGGTATTAATCGTGAACCTGGCGGTTCTCCACGAGGTCCCCTTGTCCCCACTGAAATACACAATGGGTCTGTAGGTGGTTCCAAACTTACTGCCGATGGTCAAGCGACCCATGTCGGCGCCGTACATGTGGTAGTTGAAACGAAGACAGAATGGCGTCGCTCCGGTGGTGGTCAGCATGGGTGAGACAAGTCTCGCAATTTTGTTGCTGTATCCAGAAGCCTCCACATAGACGTATTTACCTTGACGGAGAGACAGAGTTAAGAGTCAGAGATATGCTTTCCGCGTGATGGAAGATGGATGGCGATTAATGGTAATTTGATGAAAAAAACGTGCCAAAGAACAAGTTTAAACAAACAGCGCTGTCTACGTTAGTCATAAAATACCAAAAGGCACTAAGTCACAGTTGTATAATCCAAAACTTTAATTTCTTTATAATTCATTCTGCGTATGCCTTATTTAACTATTTACAGTAGCAGTATTTGTCGAAAACAATCCCACAAATTTTGTGTAAAATGGTATTTACGACCTTTGGAAACTCGCTCCGCACATACAATGCTTTTCGAAAGTGCCTTCTTACCTGAACCGCCATAGGCAGAAGTTGGTCCAGTCGATCCGGAGGGCGTGGAACCCGAGCGGATCGTCCAATCATGGCTGTCGTAGGTGTCCTGTGTCCAGCCACATAATCCAGACTCAAAAGTGCAGGTGCCCTTAGGGAGCCCAGATACACTACCAGTGGTAGCTAGAATAAATCAATGAAGTTAATATAACGTATTCAATATGCAAAGTTGGCGTAAACCTGGAGACATGTTATGTTGATCGTTTTCGAGTATAATTATCAATTTATACACGTAAACGTTAAAATCAGATTAACCCAATGCTGACAACTTTTTCTGAATCTAATAGTTTCATTTACAGTTTTTAAATACTATAAGCTGAGATATCTAAGTCTTAGTTGATATATGAAAAATATCTTACGTTGGTTGGTCACGACTGGAGGCTGGGTTACGGAACCACCGGTTGCTGAAAATATTAACATTAGTATTTTTCCGTCAAAATGCTACCCTTTCATGCATTTTTTATCAGCACAATTGAGCAGGTGGTCACCTTTTTTAAAATATCGCGGCATTTTTATTTATTTATTTATTTATTTATTGTCACCATCAGTGATTTGGAGGAACCTGAACTTCTCATTCTAATACTGCCTACTAGCGATTTCTCAAACACATGCATAAAAATTTACTGAAAATTTATCAAATGTCTGGACAGCTTTTTAAAAAATTCTTTCGGCACATTTCCGAACTCCGATCAATCGGCAAAACTCACAGGTACTGGTACCGCCACATGAGTACAGCGTTCGGATTTCCTGAATGTCATAGTCGCTCAGTCTGATTCGCTGGCCAATCGTCACCCCGGCCTTCTTTGGGATGATGGTTGGTTTGCTCCTGTCTGCGGCGAAGGAGTAGGCGCCGTAGTGCATGAGGGAGCCGTAATCGTAGGGGGTAAACTGCTGGATTTCGTTCAGAGACATTCTTTGGAACTGGGAGGCCTTGCCTGTGGGGAAATAAATAAGTGGCCTGGAGCGTGCACTGCAGATTACACTCAGTTTTAAGCTTGTAGTGGTTTACAATAGCAGTACGTTATTTTGTCTTAAAATGCCCATGACTTTTGCAGATTATATCCTTTTGGTATATTATTTATAAGATTTAGAATTAAATAAGACATAAATCTTATTTAAATTACATGTATATTGCAGAGAAAAATGTGCTTTCATTGAATTTTTCGAAGTGCACTGTTTTAAACTGTGGTCGATAAAATCGGAAAATATTAACCCATTGCCTTAGATATGAAGTTTTCTTCGCGCTTGCTGAATTTGCCTACCAGATTGAACGTTAGAATAGTCTACAGTGATGTAGTTATCTCTGTCATTACGACTTTGCTCGTGGTAAAAGCCAAGCGCGTGCTTCAGCTCATGCATGATGGTTCCTTTTTGCGTGCACCCACGCGCAATGGAGAGGTCTTGGTAGCCACCCTTCCTTCCGACTAAGGAGTAGCATCTGTATATGATATATATAGACTTAATACATAGAAATAATTAAAGACATATTAAGATATATCAAAAGAAAAAGGTAATCAGTATTATATACAATATAGTACAATATAATAGAATTATACAGTACCACACAAAATTATGAAAGTATAGTAAATTGTTATGTGAGGTTAATAATGAAACGTGGTAATTTTCAAGATAAAATGTCAAACATGAAAGACTCAATGAGATTGGTGTAACCGAAAAAAAGTAAGAAACCAACCCTGAAATTGGCCTAATGCGTATGTAGTCATTTTGGAAAGTACGGTTAAGGAAGCGAACGCAATATTTGCCATTCACTTTGGTTTTATCTTCCATCTCTCTGAATGCAGATTTTATCACCGAAACGATGTAAGAAGCTGGATATGTAATTAAAACATAATTTATGGATAAATAGAATACATTTTACAACAACGTGACAAAAAATATCAACATTCAATATATGATATATTAATGGTCAACGTTCAAAAGTCATCTTTTTAAAAAGGTTTGAAGGCTCATTAAACTCACTCGCCTTTATAACGCTGGTGCTATCTTTTTAAGAAACACTTTCTTCTAAAATTTCAATAGTGAGAGTTATAACTAGTAACAGTTGATGTATACTGCCTTTAATTTTGAAATTTTGAACCAGTATAAAACCTGGGTAGAAAATTATAGTTATAACTCTCGTGAGACAGGGGCACCTGCTTGTTACTTACGATAAGATTCGTCTAAGGTGTAGTAGACGACACCATTTGGCCATAGTTTGTAGGTGCTCTTCATGGCATTACGTGGGAGAATCTGAAACATGGTCGAAAGGTGGAATGAGAGTCGCCCTTGAGTCCATAGTTAAGAAGCAGCTCCAAACTATATCCATTTTCACGCAGTTCTTGAAAATGTATTTTGGACTGTATTACAATTTCAATTATGTTTTCCACAGAATGTTTGTTTTTTAATATTAATAATGTACTAACCGACACTTAACTGAAATGTTATCATTATTATTTTAACATCAACCTTCATAGCCATATTCAACACAAATTTCTGAAAATTTCCGAGGAAATATTCATTTGACGGCTGTTGATTTTGATTCGAAATATATGCCATGCAGAGATAAATGACGAAATATATGCTATGCAGAGAGAATGAAATCATTTGCATAGGAATATACACTGTAACTAAAATCTTCAAATATCTGCTTTACCGACCTTGTCGAGAAGGGAGTTTTCGTCGATAACCATATCTCCTTCAAATTTTCCTTTAAAACAGATAAAAAAGACCGAAAACTAGTTTTTTTCAACGAAATTGTCGTTTTCAAAATCAACTTAAGTTAGAAAATTAAATTTTATAAAGTTTTTGTGATAATGGCTCTATCAGCTGAACAATCGAAACAGAAACAAAGTCAAAACGCACACATTCAAAAAAGCAAATAATAATTATAATAAAGAAAAGAATAATAATCAAGACCAATGAACTCGAAACAACCTACCCGCCATCATCACCGGGTCTTCACCCTCTCTGGGGAACCATGTTTCTGTGTAAAGAGACAGATGCAAAAAGTCGTGTTATAAATGAATACCTTTATATACAGTTAACAAGAATGGCTTAAAAATAAAACAAAATTAAATTAGTTTTGTTGTTACCATATTCTCTTCCGTTTTTATAATACATAAGTAAATATTGACGTGATAATCAAATAGATAAGTATTACACTTTTGTAACATGACAGTAGTCAATTTTCGTACCGTCAACTTCTTCTGGTTCATTTTGTGGCACAACCTAGAAAAACACAAGTAAAGTTTAAATGAAAAGGTTCATTCTTTTAAATATACTNTTCAAAATTCGAGAAATGGATTTTTATATGACCATTGTCCTTTAAGTAATGTACATTGAAGAAAAGTCAGATTCTCATTGAAACTTGAATTTAAGAGTCATTTCTTTGCTTTTTCAATGAAGATAAAAAATAATTCATATTGCATCAATCGTACTACCAAACTGAATGCAGCAATTAAGACATTAATGTCACTCTACCAGGGAATTATATCGATGCAATTCCCTGCTATTCCATAGCAAAATCTTTTTTAAAAAAATCCGCTTAATCTTAAACTGAAGACTCAATGAACAGAATCAGTTATTAGTACGTGTACGATTTGTTTTGAGACATGGACAAGAGCACTGAGGAAGACTTTGCAAGAAGTGCAACAGGACGTGATAACTGTTCTGTGATGTTTTTATCCGCAATGACATTGTCATTTTTTATCTTCCACACAACAGCAAAAGCAGAGCCTTTTTTCTGGAAAGTAGGCCTATATATCTAGTCTTTCGATATCGGGGCACTGTTTGGACTTAAATTATAAAACTGCTATTTTAGAGAATTGTGTCAGAAGTTTTCTTTAATGTTTATTTTCAAATGTTACTTTTATATTCAATCTCTGCCATTGTTGAATAATCTTCACACATTATGTCTTTTTAATATTATTCAAACACACTTGAGCTTCCTTTTTGCTTCTTCATTTCAAATCTCCCTGGTGGGCCTGCATATTTGTATCGATATATTCATAATCATAATGCCAAATTCTGGGTCTGATCACGAACTGACCCAAGCAGATGGTCACGACATGACCCAGTCGCTTGACCTGTGCGTTGGCGTTAAGATAACCTCTTCTGACTTAAGCGATCCGCCGTGACAAACGATCAAAGATATGTACCCCAATATAACCAATGAGTCTTCTCGTCTAGTCCTACAACTGCTCGTTAATGTTTAGGGTAGATTTCAGAGAGAAATTATTCAAAATTGAATGACACAGAATCGAATTCGTAAATATGCATACATTTGGTTAAGTACCAAATGGTATTTGTGCTATGTTTTACTTTTAGGTGCGTATTGAGGAAAATTGTCATAGTACACCAAATAACTATTTAACCACAAGATGAAACAGTTAAAGCTGTCATTTTGAAATTATGCTTCATAGTCAAATTTGTAAGCTATTACATATTAATGTATTAACTTGTGATTATATTTTTGACATTTATTGTTAATAACAAAGATTAAGCTTGTAAACATTTAGCAGGCATTGGTAATGTTTCAAGCACAACACAATGAGCAGCAATTTGCCGCGCTTTTCACCCCACGCCTCTCGGAAGAGATTAAAGGTAAAATTGTAGTATTTCTGATGATTTTTAACAAAAACAGGCGCAGTCTGTGATAAAACCTTTTGATTGACAGTTGAAATATGTGAGGAAAGTCCTAATTACAAGTTTTTGTCGAGAGAATCTCAGTAGTGCCTTTGAAAATTAAATGGCCCATCTATAATCATTGAATGTTTCCAATGATTTATGAATTAAGCTTCTTTTGTAATCGCAGGAATCTTGAAAATAAAATATATAATATTATTCTAAAATATAGCTATAACGTTACTCGTGAAACAACACAGCAAAAAATTCAAATAGTCAAATCTATGTTTATTGTGCAATCACATTTTAATGATAATTTGTTCTTGGGAAGGATGGTTTTGGGTCCATTTCTGCTCCCAGAGACACATTTTAAAGAGCAAAAAAAAAAAAAAAATAATAAATAAAAATAAAAAAAAAATAAAAAATAAAAAATATAATAAAAAAAATGAATAAATAAATAAAATAAATAAATAAAATAAAATAATTAAATTAAATTAAATTAAATTTAATTTATAATAATAATAATAATAATAATAAAAATAATAATGTAGTTAGTTTATAATGAATGTCATTTTGAGTCATTCCTCTTAATGTACTCTTGCGCGGCGATTTTCACAAAGCTAAAAAAAAACGCATCTTTGTTGCAACTGATAAATGGGTAAAGTATTACAAATCTATTATATATAAAATGTTAAACGAAGTGTTTAAGCATGCAGTTTTTATAAAACTTACAGCGGCCTGTGCAACAGCCAGTGCCAACAATCCAAAGGCGACCAGTTGGACCATCTTGCTTGTCTTCACCGGTCTTCACAAGGTGTCGAGTCGAGTGCGAACAGCAGACTGAAATTAACCGTTTTATAGCTACGTTTCATTATCCGACGGCTAGCCCATCCTTCTGCATGGGCGGTGTAAAATATAATGTCAAGGAACTGATAAAGCGACCCTCAACTTAAGACTGAAGCTGTGGACGGTGCAAATGTGTGGTGGATATTGGAAAATTGATTCCATTACTCTATTAACATAGGAAAAAATGACCTGTTTTAATCAAATTAACTGATTAGAGTTAAAAGGATCATGTGAGGGAGATATGCCACCTTTTAAACATAATCTTAAATAGCTGTATCAAAACATCAGAATCTGAGGTCACGAACAGTGCTTTATTTAATTGGGTTTCGAACGATTACAATTTTGGTTAAGAAATATTTTGAGTTAGCTGGAATTCAAGATAATCTACTAAGCTAGGAATATGCAACGATGAGGGGAGCTATCTCTAACCAAAAATTGTTTATCTTCATCCGTTTCTCAATCTTTGGTTCTAAAAACAAGCCGAGCTCAAAAAAAAGTATTGGAACATTGAAAACCCAGTAAAAACAGAGTTGAAACCTGGTGCACTATGAATGGTATTTCGTATATGATTTTCATTGCTCACATTGTTTTTCTCATAAGACACAGGAGTCTGTTAAAACGTGACAAATAGATGTTACTTTTCTGCATGTAAATAAACCATGTTGAATTATATATGGGCTACAATATGATTAGATATTTTTTAAAGAAAAAAATCAACNAAAAAGCTTATCAACGGCTCTCTAAAAATAATCACTTGCGTCCGCGTGTACTTATCACCGACAACCACTATCTGGGTTGATAGGGCGGCCGTTATATAACCCGGTGACCCATTGTTTGTTAACCTAGTTTTACTTATCATTGGGAGCAGGCCATTAACCTTTCAGTACTTTGGCAGTGGAATGACAAAGTTGCATTCAGTTTGTGAATGATTCAAAGATACATATGAAACCGCTGTGAATTTCTACAATTTCCATTTACACGGGAAATTATTTTACTTACTATTTTTGTGAAAGGGGGGGGGGATGAATAAGATTATAATACTAAAAATAACAAATAATCATTGAATGTTTTATCAATGAGTTACAACAGTAACTCCTTGGTTTTATCGCCTCGAGAGACTGCCAGATTTAGTTCAAAGTTATGATGAATTAAATGACCAATCCAACAATTGACTTTACCAATTCAGACTGCTGGTAGTATAATAATGTTCGTATATATTTGTTGATCTCTTACCATTTAGACTGTGTTAGTTGCACTTAGAGTTTGGTGTGATAGTGGTATGCGCGTGCAATGACAAATTTTAGTTTTCGACTCCTTTTCTTTACTTAAATAAATGGGCACTGACTAAATTCCTGATTTAATGTACCATCCGTAAGTCATAAAAACTAAACCAAAAAGGTCTATATTCTACATTTCACCACAGCCGCCACAGAATAGTTCTTTGAAGGCACAAAGACATGCATATATGCATTATTTTGAACTGCAAGAATAGTTTATTTCAAAACGCATCTGTACACAAATGACAGCAAAGACACCAATCCGATTACCCTGTTTTGAAATATGTCTCGCCAAAATAAGATACTGGGACTTTTACGTACATTTGCCGGATGCAAGATTCAGGTTATCTATAGCGATGTCGCTTCTGTAGTTGGTGCCAACAGTGCCTTCCAGGTAGAACTGCAAGATAATAAGATATCCGTTAAGTGTCTTTGAGCACGTTTACTTTATAACACGAACTTCTTTCGGGACAACAAACTACTTATGGATTATTTTTAAAAAGCGGAGGATGCTACGTGTTTGTTTTTCTTTGGAGAAGAAGTGCCATCTTAATAGAAAATATACTTTGGAAAATACATCTAAATGTGCATATGACTCAGTTATATTTTCATTCATATTCACTTACACTGAACGATCCGGCAGAACTGGTATTAATCGTGAACCTGGCGGTTCTCCACGAGGTCCCCTTGTCCCCACTGAAATACACAATGGGTCTGTAGGTGGTTCCAAACTTACTGCCGATGGTCAAGCGACCCATGTCGGCGCCGTACATGTGGTAGTTGAAACGAAGACAGAATGGCGTCGCTCCGGTGGTGGTCAGCATGGGTGAGACAAGTCTCGCAATTTTGTTGCTGTATCCAGAAGCCTCCACATAGACGTATTTACCTTGACGGAGAGACAGACTTAAAAGTCAGAGATATGCTTTCCGCGTGATGGAAGATGGATGGCGATTAATGGTAATTTGATGAAAAAAACGTGCCAAAGAACAAGTTTAAACAAACAGCGCTGTCTACGTTAGTCATAAAATACCAAAAGGCACTAAGTCACAGTTGTATAATCCAAAACTTTAATTTCTTTATAATTCATTCTGCGTATGCCTTATTTAACTATTTACAGTAACAGTATTTGTCGAAAACAATCCCACAAATTTTGTGTAAAATGGTATTTACGACCTTTGGAAACTCGCTCCGCACATACAATGGTTTCGAAAGTGCCTTCTTACCTGAACCGCCATAGGCAGAAGTTGGTCCAGTCGATCCGGAGGGCGTGGAACCCGAGCGGATCGTCCAATCATGGCTGTCGTAGGTGTCCTGTGTCCAGCCACATAATCCAGACTCAAAAGTGCAGGTGCCCTTAGGGAGCCCAGATACACTACCAGTGGTAGCTAGAATAAATCAATGAAGTTAATATAACGTATTCAATATGCAAAGTTGACGTAAACCTGGAGACATGTTATGTTGATCGTTTTTGAGTATAATTATCAATTTATACACGTAAACGTTAAAATCAGATTAACCCAATGCTGGCAACTTTTTCTGAATCTAATAGTTTGATTTACAGTTTTAAAATACTGTAAGCTGAGATATCTAAATCTTAGTTGAAATGATATATGAACAATATCTTACGTTGGTTGGTCACGACTGGAGGCTGGGTTACGGAACCACCGGTTGCTGAAAATATTAACATTTGTATTTTTCCGTCAAAATGCTACCCTTTCAAGCATTTTTTTATCAGCACAATTGAGCAGGTGGTCACCTTTTTTTAAATAACGTGGCATTTTTATTTATTTATTTATTTATTTATTTATTTATTGTCACCTTCAGTGATTCGGAAGAACCTGAACTTCTCATTCTAATACTGCCTAAGTACTAACGATTTCTCAAACACATGCATCAAAATTTACTGAAAATGTCATACGCGCCAAAGCATTTTTATCAAATGTCTGGACAGCTTTTTAAAAAATTCTTTCGGCACATTTCCCAACTCCGATCAATCGGCAAAACTCACAGGTACTGGTACCGCCACATGAGTACAGCGTTCGGATTTCCTGAATGTCATAGTCGCTCAGTCTGATTCTCTGGCCAATCGTCACCCCGGCCTTCTTCGGGATGATGGTTGGTTTGCTCCTGTCCGCAGCGAAGGAGTAGCGGCCGTAGTGCATGAGGGAGCCGTAATCGTAGGGGGTAAACTGCTGGATGTTGTTCAGAGACATTTTTTGGAACTGGGAGGCCTTGCCTGTGGGGAAATAAATAAGTGGCCTGGAGCGTGCACTGCGGATTACACTCAGTTTTAAGCTTGTAGTGGTTTACTAGCAGTACGTTATTTTGTCTTAAAATGCCCATGACTTTTGCAGATTATATCCTTTTGGTATATTATTTATAAGATTTAGAATTAAATAAGACATAAATCTTATTTAAATTACATGTATATTGCAGAGAAAAATGTGCTTTCATTGAATTTTTCGAAGTGCACTGTTTTAAACTGTGGTCGATAAAATCGGAAAATATTAACCCATTGCCTTAGATATGAAGTTTCCTTCTCGCTTGCTGAATTTGCCTACCAGATTGAACGTTAGAATAGTCTACAGTGATGTAGTTATCTCTGTCATTACGACTTTGCTCGTGGTAAAAGCCAAGCGCGTGCTTCAGCTCATGCATGATGGTTCCTTTTTGCGTGCACCCACGCGCAATGGAGAGGTCTTGGTAGCCACCCTTCCTTCCGACTAAGGAGTAGCATCTGTATACGATATTTAGAGACTTAATACATAGAAATAATTAAAGACATATTAAGATATATCGAAAGTAAAAGGTAATCAGTATTATATACAATATAGTACAATATAATAGAATTATACAACACAAAATTATGAAAGTGTAGTAAATTGTGAGGTTAACAATGAAGCGTGGTAATTTTCGATATAAAATGTCAAACATGAAAGACTCAATGAGAATGGAGTAACCGAAAAAAAGTAAGAAACCAACCCTGAAATTGGCCTAATGCGTATGTAGTCATTTTCGGAAGTACGTTTAAGGAAGCGAACGCAATATTTGCCATTCACTTTGGTTTTATCTTCCATCTCTCTGAATGCAGATTCTATCACCGAAACGATGTAAGAAGCTGGATATGTAATTAAAACATAATTTATGGATAAATAGAATACATTTTACAACAACGTGACGAAAAATATCAACATTCAATATATGATATCTTAATGGTCAACGTTCAAAAGTCATCTCTTTAAAAAGGTTTGAGGGCTCATTAAACTCGCTCATCTTTATAACACTGTGTTATATTTTTAAGAAACACTTTCTTCTAAAATTTCAATAGTGAGAGTTATAACTAGTTGATGTATACTGCCTTTGATTTTGAAATTTTGAACCAGTATAAAACTTAAAGAAAATAAAACTTAAAGAAAATTATAGTTAAAACTCTCGTGAGACAGGGGCACCTGCTTGTTACTTACGATAAGATTCGTCTAAGGTGTAGTAGACGACACCATTTGGCCATAGTTTGTAGGTACTCTTCATGGCATTACGTGGGAGAATCTGAAACATGGTCGAAAGGTGGAATGAGAGTCGTCCGTGAGTCTATAGTTAAGAAGCAGCTCCAAAACTATATTCATTTTTACGCAGCTCTTGAAAATGTATTTTGGACTGTATTTCAATTTCAATTATGTCTTCTACAGAATTTTCGTTTTTTTAATATTAATAATATACTAGCCGTCACTGAACTGAAATGTTGTCATTATTATTTTAACATCAATCTTCATAGCCATATTCAGCACAAATTTCTGAAATTTCCCGAGCAAATATTCATTTGACGGCTGTTTATTTTGATACAGAACTGATGAAATACATGCTATGCAGAGAGAATGATATCAGTTGCATAGGAATATAACTAAAATCTACAAATATCTGCTTTACCGACCTTGTCGAGAAGGGAGTTTTCGTCGATGACCATATCTCCTTCAAATTTCCCTTGAAAACAGATGAAAAAGATGCAAACATTTTTTTTCAACGAAATTGTCGTTTTCAAAATCAACCAAAGACAGAAAATTAAATTTTATCTAAAAATTTGATAATGCCTCTATTAGTTGAACAATCGAAACAGAAACAAAGTCAAAACGCACACATTCAAAAAAAAATAAATAAATAAAAAAAATAAAAATAAAAAGGTAAAAAAAATAATAATAAAGAAAAAAATTATACGCAAGACCGATGAACTAGAAAGAACCTACCCGCCATCATCACCGGGTCTTCACCCTCTCTGGGGAACCATGATTCTGTGTAAAGAGACAGATGCAAAAAGTCGTGTTATAAACGAATACCTTTAAATACAGTTAACGAACATGGCAGTAGAAGAGAGTGGCTTTAAAAATAAAAGCAAAATTAAATTAGTTTTGTTGTTACCATATCCTCTTCCGTTTTTATAATACATACACATATATTGTGATCCTCAAATAGATAAGTATTACACTTTTACAACAATAGTCAATTTTCGTACCGTCAACTTCTTCCGGTTCATTTTGAGGCACAACCTAGAAAAACACAAGTAAAGTTTAAATGAAAAGGTTTATTCTTTTAAATATACTTAAGTAATGTACATTGAAGAAAAGTCAGATTCTCATTGAAACTTGAATTTAAGAGTCATTTCTTTGCTCGTTCAATGAAGATAAAAAATAATTCATATTGCATCAATCGTACTACCAAACTGAATGCAGCAATTAAGACATTAATTGTCACTCCTACCAGGGAATTATATCGATGCAATTCCCTGCTCCTACATAGCAAAATCTTTTTTGAAAATCCGCTTAATCTTAAACTGAAGACTCAATGAGCAGAATCAGTTATCAGTACGTGTACGATTTGTTTTGAGACATGGAAAAGAGCACTGAGGAAGACTTTTTCAAGAAGTGCAACAGGACGTGATAACTGTTCTGTGATGTTTTTAACCGCAATGACATTGTCATTTTTTATCTTCCACACAACAGCAAAAGCAGAGCCTTTTTTTCTGGAAAGTAGGCCTATATATCTAGTCTTTCAATATCGGGGCACTGTTTGGACTTAAATTATAAAACTGCTTTTTTAGAGAATTGTGTCAGAAGTTTTCTTTAATGTTTATTTTCAAATGTCACTTTTATATTAAATCACTGCCACTGTTGAATAATCCTCACACATTATGTCTTTTTAATATTATTCAAACACACTTGAGCTTCCTTTTTGCTTCTTCATTTCAAATCTCCTTGGTGGGCCTGCATATTTGTATCAATATATTCATAATCATAATGCCAAATTCTGGGTCTGATCACGAACTGACCCAAGCAGATGGTCACGACATGACCCAGTCGCTTGACCTGTGCGTTGGCGTTAAGATAACCTCTTCTGACTTAAGCGATCCGCCGTGACAAACGATCAAAGATATATACCCCAATATAACCAATGAGTCTTCTCGTCTAGTCCTAAAACTGCTCGTTAATGTTTAGGGTAGATTTCAGAGAGGAATTATTCAAAATGGAATGATACATAATCGAATGCGTAAATATGGTTAAGTACCATATGGTATTTGAGCTATGTCTTACTTTTAGGTGCATATTGGGGAAAATTGTCACAGAACACCAAATAACTATTTAGCCACAAGATGAAACAGTTAAAGCTGTCATTTTGAAATTATGATTCATAGTCAAATTTGCAAGCTATAACATATTAATGGTTTAACTTGTGATTATATTTTTGATATTTATTGTAAATAACAAAGATTAAGCCTGTTAACATTTGGCAGGCATTGGTAATGTTTCAAACACAACACAATGAGCAGCAATTTGCCGCCCTTTTCACCCCACGCCTCTCGAAAGAGATTCAAGGTAAAATCATAGTATTTCTAATGATTTTTAACAAAAACGGGCGCAGTCTGTGATAAAACCTTTTGATTGACAGTTGAAATATGTGAGGAAAGTCCTAATTACAAGTTTTTGTCGAGAGAATCTGAGTAGCGCCTTTGAAAATTAAATGGCCCATCTATCATCATCGAATGTTTCCAATGATTTATGAATTAAGCTTCTTTTGTAATCGCAGGAATCTTGAAACTAAAATATATAATATTATTCTAAAATATAGCTATAACGTTACTCGTGAAACAACACAGCAAAAAATTCAAACAGTCTAAATCTATGTTTATTGTGCAATCACATTTTAATGATAATTTGTTCTTGGGAAGGATGGTTTTGGGTCCATTTCTGATCCCAGAGACACATTTTAAAAAGCAAAAAAAATAAAAAATAAAAATAAAAATAAATAAATTAAATAAATAAATAAATAAATAAATAATCAAATTAAATAATAAAATAAAATAAAATTAAATAAAATAATAATAATAATAATAATAATAATAATGTAGTTAGTTTATAATGAATGTCATTTTGAGTCATTCCTCTTAATGTACTCTTGCACGGCGATTTTCACAAAGCTAAAAAAAAAATGCATCTTTGTTGCAACTGATAAATGGGTAAAGTATTACAAATCTATTATATATAAAATGTTCAACGAAGTGTTTAGGCATGCAGTTTTTATAAAACTTACCGCGGCCTGTGCAACAGCCAGTGCCAACAATCCAAAGGCGACCAGTCGGACCATCTTGCTTGTCTTCACCGGTCTTCACAAGGTGTCGAGTCGAGTGCGAACAGCAGACTGAAATTAACCGTTTTATAGCTACGTTTCATTATCCGACGGCTAGCCCATCCTTCTACATGGGCGGTGTAAAATATAATGTCAAGGAACTGATAAAGCGACCCTCAACTTAAGACCGAAGCTGTGGACGGTGCAGATGTGTGGTGGAAATTGGAAAATTGATTCCATTACTATATTGAAATAGCAAAAAATGACCTGTTTTAATCAAAGTTAGTGATTACAATTAAAAGGATCATGTGAGAGAGATATGCCAGCTTTTAAACTTAATCTTAAATGGCTGCATCAAAACATCAGAAACTGAGATCACGCACAGTGCCTTATTTAATTGGGTTTGGAACGATTACAATTTTGGTCAAGAAATATTTTGAATGAGCTGGAACTCAAGATAATCTACTAACCTAGGAATATGCAACGACGGGGGGAGCTAACTTTAACCAAATTGTTTATCTTCTTCCGTTTCTCAATCTTTGATTCTAAAAACAACTCGAGCTCGAAAAAAGTATTGGAACATTGAAAACCCAGTAAAAACAGAGTTGAAACCTGGTGCACTATGAATTGTGTTTCGTATGTAATTTTTATTGCTCACATTGTTTTTCGCAAAAGACACCGGAATCTGTTAAAAACGTGACAAATAGATGTTACTTTTCTGCATGTAAATAAATCATGTTGAATTATATATGGGCTACAATATGATTAGATATTTTTTAAAGAAAAAAATTTAAAATTCAACTGAAAATACGATATTTTCCCGTTTATATTTCATTTTATCTAGTTAAACTTAAAGTGCCATGACGTTAGCATGTTCCATAAAAACAACTACTTCATTTAATTAAAATTCAAAGGTAGGACAATACTTTTTTGAAATGCGGTCAACGTGGTCTGTTTGATCACTCAACTCATCTGGATGTGATGGTGAATTTTTCAGAGCTTGTTAAAATACATACAGTAACAGTTCAAACGGGGCCTTAATGTTTTTTGATATCTCATTTTGAAGACATGGAAGCTAAAAGACAGATTTTTTTTTTAATTAAAAAAATAATTACCTGTTTCTGTCAATTCTCAAAGAATGTGACTTGTCACTTTTAAATATTGATGCACCGCTTTGCAGTCCTATAACCCCACAATACTGTTTAAATTGTTTTGACAGGTCTCTCGATGAGTGAGAAAAATTGTAAGACCGAAGAAGACATTTCACCCCTCAGCCCCACCGCAGCAACACAAATATTTGTAAAATAAACAAAAACTAGAAAAGCACTCCGAGAGCGCAGACCTCCGCCAAGGAATCGATTTTTGATTAATATTGATTATTGATTGATTACTGATCCGGAGCACCACCAAAAAGTAATCACTTCTAAGTTAACCCATTTCCCACCTACCCTGAAAATTTCATCAAAATCGGTCCATAACTTTTTGAGTTATGTTGATGACAAACAAACAGACAGACAGACAAACAGGGGTGAAAACATAACCTCCTTGGCGAAGGTAATTAAGAAAATCTTCTGTTGCGTCTTTAAGAAAACTGAGAAGCTGTTGTTTTGAATGCAAAGCCTAAAGTCTATGTGATCGTATTTTATTATAAGATTTCATGTGGACAAAGTGCTTTACACGGTCGAGTTTATAAAGTGTCCTCTGAATTGCATAGCGTGAAATTTTCTAACAGACTTATTGCTGCTGTTAACATCGGCCACGGCTGATCTTGACGTTGTCGATGGCAATGTCACTCCTGACGCCACTTCCTCTTTCACCCGCAAAAAAGAACTAAAAGAAAGACGTGTTTTGATGAAGACAACCTTTAAATCTAAATAATATCAACAATAAACAATAAACAATAGTAGTTTATAATTAAATTGTGATAAGGGTCCGATGTGAAACAAAGACAACACATCTAAATAGTATGCCCTGGAGAGTTCTATATTTCTGAGGCAACGCTGCTACAGCGTAATATTAGCAACAGAATCTGACAAAACGACGTCATTAAATTCTTCCACAAATTGCTTCTGTTTTTCCATTTTAACATCTAAACACCCGCAAAACTTACTTGAAGGGACGATCCAGAATAAGAAATAGTGGTAGTAAGGCGCATATTTCTCCAGGAGTTGCCTTTTTCTCCTTTCAGTGTGTACATGGTCTTGAAAGAGGAGCCGAGCTTGGTACCTATCATCAAGTTCCCCATGGTGTTCCCGTACATGTGGTAGGACACGGTCACACAGTATTGTTGGGAACCGCCGGGGTGAGATATACGTGGAGAGAGAAGCCTGGCCACAGCACCCGCCGATTTCCCACTCGCTTCTACGTACATGTATTTACCTAGAGGTAAAGAAGATGATATAAAGAAAACTGTTTGTAATTTATAAGTGAAAACGTTACTGAATACAGTGGACAATGGGAATCTTGATGTCATGTTCACCTCGTTTTCTACAAAGAGTGACAACTCAAGCCAGTGTGCTATGATCATGATCAGTTCGACAATCTTTCTCTCCTGCATAACCTCCATAACTTATAGGGCATGAGTTTATACCTTAGGAACTACATGGAAAAGGAAGTAGGTTCTTTCTCTTTAAATTCATGCCAAAAGTATATGAAAACTACACGCTTTCTAGTAAAACCACGAAGAAACGTCTCCCATATCCAACTCGAATTACGACAATCAATTCTGATTACAGAACCATTGCTTAAGGACCATACCGCTGCCGCCATATCCAGAACTAGGTCCGGTATCTGCTGAGCTGGTGGCCCCGGATTTTAGAGTCCAGTTTATATCGTCCGAGCTGTCTTGGGTCCAGCCGCAGAGGCTGCCGCTGTCGAAGTTACAGAAAGACAGGTAGGTTCCTACAGGGAGAATATGAAATTATAAATGTGTGTGTGTGTGTGTGTGTGTGTGTGTGTGTGTGAGCATGCTTAGAAGTGGACGAAAAATAGGAAAGTAAGAAAATCAATTGAGTCTTGCTTAGATGGGCATTAACCTTTTCCCCGACTGTTCATAGGAGTAACAAATAATACATTTATAAAAAGTTTTTTTAAATTGCATATTTACCAGGTTGTTGGGTTACAGGTTTTTGAGTCACTGGCTTGCTGGTGGTCGCTGTGTTCGTGCTCCCTTAATGAAAGCACGCTATAGTGAATAAACATTTTCGGCTTGAAAGCATCATTTTCTAACCATTTTCATATCATAACATGGTTAATCTAAATAATTTCCAACCGAAAATAATTATATTTTCACTTTTAAATTTTGCACGTACAATTTTTTAAAAGGGTGAAGATATTACGATGACAAAAACATATTTATAATTTACTGGGAGATACGACATTACGCCCTCTTCTACTGTGAATTTTTTAAAAATTATATTTATGAAATATACCAATGAATCGGAGTGCAATTCTCACCACTTCCGCCGCAATTATAAAATTGCCTTATCTCACTAATATCAGATGTGCTGAGAGCGACGCGTTGCCCAATGGTCGCACCATCGCGTTTAGGGGTGATGGTGGGCTTGGTCCTGTCTGCAGCAAAGCCATACCTCCCGTAGTGCATTATAGAACCGTAGTCGTAGTTGGTTAGGTGTTGGATGTAGCCGAGTTCGTACTTTTTGAAGTTAGAGCTTTTACCTGTGAAAATGTAGGTAAAAGGGTAAAACAGAATGAAAGATTAACAGCGTGTCATCAGAATGAAAACATGCATAAACACAACCCCACGCAAGCACACGCTTGCAAACGCACAACCAAATGCCATACATTCTGGATATTGAAACGAGAGCAAAAAACTCTTCGGCCTTAATTTTATTTAAAAAACCATAAAATATCAGAAAATGTAGTCTGTTGTCCTAACAGTACTTGGTTTTTAACAACCGTTCACAATATGTGGTATCTGAATTGCCCCCACTACTGACCACCTACCATCCTTTATGTTATCCCAATGAATGGTGACGTAGTTGTCTCTGTCAGCGCGGCTCTGCTCGTGGTGGAAGCCGAGAGTGTGTAGAAGCTCGTGCATGATGACACCTTTGTTCATGCATCCTCTAGCCAGGGACAGATCCTGAGATCCACCTCTGCTTTTTTTGCCAACCCCAGAGTAACAGCTATAATGTTATCAGCAATGTTTTAACCGCTGCCCAGTTGTATATTGGGCATAGGCCAGAGAAATGAGGCCAGCATCTTTCGAAAATCATTATTTACAGAATTACAAATTTACAATGTATTACAGAATAACACTTCTCGTTCATAGGAAGAGATGACGATAGCATTGACATTTCCCTTATCAATCCAACAAGTAGGCCTAAATCTTCCTTTTGTGTTTGAAAAAGTTTACCAACATCGCTGTTCAAGTATAAAAATGACTTAACCTCACCCAGTTAAAGGTTTTATTGAGATATAGTCTGGCTGTGAGGATCGGGCGACAAAACGAACGCAATTGGTTGAACCAACTTTAGTCTTCTCCTCTATTTCTCTCATAGCGTCGGTGATGAAGGACTTTTGCGATGAGGCTGAACGAAAACGAATAAATATAAAGGAAACTTATCAAAATGAAATGGTCGTGGGCGACATTAATGCGAGTACTGGATTTTATTTGACTCAAAATAAAATATGTACTTATTGCACTGTGAGAAAGGGTATGTGTTTCTGAAGGGGATTTAAGGGCCAAGGTCTAGCAAAAGGCCTTAACATGCTTATCAGTGTTGTAGCCGAACCAGCACCATGAAGGGAAAGAAAGCTCTACATAAATAGGCCTAAGTTTATTTAAAGAGACGAATGCAATATTATATTACATGTGAATAACATATGATAATGAGTCTAGTGGCTTGGAAAATTAAATTTAATACTTACTGTACGAAGCTGCTGATGACGTAAGGTACCTGACCGTTGGGCCACCTCTTACCGCTAGCTGCAAGGGCATTACGATGCTGAATATTTAGAAAAAGACGCAAAAATGATCAAACCTTGGCTAAAGGATTTTCAATGGATTTTTAGAGGGCGGACACAAACATTTTTTGTGTCCGAGTCAAGAGTAGTCGTGGTATTATATCCTGTGCTTATTTTATGGAATCCAAAGCCATTAATATTTATATATAGTTTATTAAGAAAAAAAAAGAAAGAAATTGCACGTGACGTTGTTTTACCGAGACATATTCTCATTTGCGTTGTTTGACGGTTTGAAGAATCCAATGAGATTTACCTTAAAAAAGTCAGGTTCTATATCCATGTCACCCTCAAATTTCCCTAAAAAATGCATGCAATAAGTTGAAAGTATGCGAAAAAATAGAACATAAAAGGCAGAAATAAAGAAAAACAATAAAGAATAACACGAAAGTCACGACAAACAGTTAAAAACTTTAAGAGGTAAAGGCTGAAAACCAAAATGCAGAAATAAAGAATGGCCAGCCAAGACATACGAACAATAATACACATTGAGAGGAAAAGGCTGAAATTGTTCTCACTACGAAGTTCTGTCATACCGCTATACTCAAAGATAACAAAACGGAAGTGATTATATGATGAAAAGGCAAACTCATTTCGTTTCAATTTTCAATTTATAACATCAGTGACAATCAGCTAAAAATATACCCCGACAAATATTGCTATATATATATATATATGCTTGAAAGATGAAGTCGAAGTGTCTGTGGCGGCGAAACACCTGTCTTTTCTAAAAATATGCATTATATCTGCTGATAACCTTTCGTTGCTCTACTCACCACCAGCCTCCTCTGGGGAAATCTCATACTCAGGGAGGTCGTCTGCCCATGATTCTAAAACAGAGAGTTACTTCTTAAAGTTAAGGATGGTATTGTTCTTGTTTATTACCAAGTAAAATTACAACTATCGAAAATAAAGTCTATGAGTGCATTCCCAGAGATTTAGATAGATCCCCACAGGGATAGATCGATCTAAAATCTGTGGGAATGGGGTCATAGAATAGACCCCATTCCCACAGATTTTAGATTGATCTATCCCTGTGGGGAGTCTCACTAGATTACTGTCAGCTTAGCCGGCTTAAGCGTCTGTCCTGACTACTAAAAGCTGTAAGGGGGTAATTAACTGTCGTGCGCGCTCGACTGACTGCAATTTAGCGTGAACCCCCAGGGAGTTAGGTCGATCCGGATGGATCGATCTAAATCTCTGGGAATGCACTCTATGTTTTAAGGATGTAAAGTTAACAAAGCTCGATGATGTGAACTTATTTGACGGAAAAGAATGATTTGCTACTTCACCAGAAAGGAAAATCAGAGTCAGCAAGAAGATAGAAAGGAAAAAGATGACAAAAAATTAACGATGTGGGTTTTCACCTGCTTCCTCGGGAATGGGGACGGCCTGCAAGAAATAATTGAAAAAGAGGTTATCGGCATAGGGGCCTACTATTGGCACGTTATTCACACGTTATGCATAATGGAAAATGCCACCTTTGTCCTATGCTTTCAGGCAAAATACTTAATCATAACTCGAATTACGATTTCTTTTCAATGCCGATCGTTCCAATTAATATCCATCACCAACTTTACCATACTTTAGGCCTCTTTATCTTGTTGCTCAGGGCTCATTTTCTAGCTCATGGAGGGTTTTAAAAGCTGTGAATTGATCAATCTCAAAACTCTCTTTATTGTGAAAAATAAATGCTATTTTGCTATAAAGAATCTGACATAAGACATATACGTTTTACATAATTTAATTGTGTATAGATAATGCAGAAAATGCACATAACAAAATAATATACCTTACAGCAAAACTTTTCATTGAAAGAAATCAACTTACAGTAACATGCGACGCTATGCAAAGCGCCAACGCTACGGACAATGCTTTCATCTTGCTCGTCGCCTGAACTGACCACCGAAATTCCAACGCGCCCTAATAAACGACTGGCTCAAAATGTCCCGCGGTCGTGGTCCTGGATAAACGGTTAGCGGAGCTTAGGATAAAGAATATCACGATTCCGGGGGCGGTGGGAAGCCGATGAGATCGCTCCACGTGTAGATAATTTCACATTTCATTGTATGGTATAGACTGTATTTGTGGCAGACTTCAAATTGAGTTAAATGTTTACCTGAAATTGAATTCATTTTAATGAACTTTATTTGCTGCCAAAATATAATTATGAAGACCAAATCATTTAAAATAAATAAAAAAAATGAAATAATTAAACATCAAGTTTTACAGAGCATTTATAGTCTGAAGTCAATACTTTGCTTAAAAATAGGATGATATTGAAAATGAAATAGACTCCACTACTGGATCCTACGTTTTGAAATGTAGGTCACACGACCTTATCACAAGGTCTTTCTCAGGTGAACTGATGCAGAGTTGTGATACGGATGAGAACTCAACATTACCTCAGTTATAGTTGTGGACTATTCGTTTAAATTGGGTTATTGGGCACACACACACAGACGCACACACATAAATAAAACGGCGAATGTTTTACGCCGTCGGTTGGACACAACATGACATTCTAATACATGCATGTGGCAACAAATTCATCCTGGAGTAAGGTGAAGTGAGATTTTGGTCTCACACTAAATTCTAACAGATCATATGTTAAATACGTCCCGTTTTCAGTAGTGATATAATGGTCCAGAGTTTCAGAAGTCCCTGGAAACTCGTCTTTCTGAAAATGGCAGTCATGGTATTATAGTTCAGCTTTAGGTGACCTTTGAAACTCAGGGTGATCAATAAAGGCACCTGTATTTATGAAGGTAGGCTTTGTATCTTTATTTGAGAAGCTTGTACGTCACTGCACCATTGAAGCTATTCAACAGGGGGACATGATTGATCCATGGGGAATCATTTGACATCCACATTTCCATTCCACCCATCATAGCACATTTAAATTTCATGACCAGTATCAACCGTATACATAGAATAATCTGAGACAAGAGAACTGGAGAAATTATAACGCAGATAAAAGGTCACTTATGCGGGCAAAAAAAGAGAAAATGGAGGTGGACTTTGCATTACCTAAAGAGATTAGGTTGGTCTAACAACCTGTTCTAAAAGTGTAGGCTCCCCTACGTTTGAGAACTTAATAGTCATTGAGGCACGTCTATTCATCTTTGAATTAATTATTTAAGTATAATTAATGTTTTAAGATATTTCGTATACAGTGAGTGCACAGATCTACGGGTAACTAGCATTCCAGCGTGTCTCAAGGCATATATTCACTTACTTTCGTCCGCCTGGTTAGGAACTTGCGAAGATAACACAGAAGAAAAGATACAGGGTTACCACTAAATATGGAATATTCTTTTTTGGCGAGTAAATTTTCTACAAAATATTTAATTTCTCTCTAACTACTTTAAATCCAAAGCTGAGGTGTCACTCCATGCGTAGCCAGGTGTGTTACCTCATTACCACACAACTCTCGAAACAATTGATGCATGCAGTTGCATGTTCTGTGGTCAGAAATGTGAGGGGTGGTCTTTTCGGCAATTTCTGCCATTGTATAAAAACCCATGGGTTTGGTCAATCTTTGAGGTGTGTTTAGAGAAGCAACAAAGGGATCGCTCTGAAACTTGACAGGTACCTTAATGAAGATATGGTTCGACAGCTAAGCAACGCAGCTTACTANATTCAATAATAAAGGAATTAGAATGTGGAATATGTTTTGATGCGCCGGAATAGCATACAGCCTTTACTTGCTACCTACAGTATTTATTTTAGATGAAACCTTTTAATTATGTTGTAAAATCCCGAAATCCAAAATGGTGGCCAAAATATAAGTCTGCTGTCCCAACTGGAAAGATGCCAGATTTATCATCAAAGTGTCATTCTTTATTACTTTTAATAAACTGAATTCGAGCTTAGGACTTTTTAAAACAATTTGCATTAATTCTGATTACATTAAGACTTTCAAAATTCAAAATGACCGCCAATATGCTTATACACACTGGCTAAAATTGATATAATATATTCTTCCAACAGAATATTAATTTTAATTATCTCCCACCAACTTAGCCCCATTAGTGATTTCTGTTTACTATTATTTTCTGGTAGGTTAGGCCCTTAGCTTTTATTTTTTGCTTGTTTGCCATTAACCTGGTGGTGGGTGTGAGTAACAGAGCTGTTGCCATGGTAATGTCTGGGGTTGAAAATTGATATTTTTGAGACCAAAATAAAAATCAAATATTCCAAATGCATTTAAAATCATGGAATTCACAATTATACCAGATGTGTAAATTAAGAAGTGTGCTATACTTCACAATCATCAAAATGTCCCAAGATGGCAGCAAATTCAAGATGGCTGCCAATAATTGCTCGTTTTTTTATAATTTTGGGAATTTTTTTATATTTTAGTTTTTATTTAATTATTAAGAAATTGCAATGTGGCATGTGTTTTGATGTTCCATAATGGTAAAAAGCCTCTGCTGTCTGCTTAAAGTGCTTGTTGAAGATGTAACCTTTTAATTTTGACGTAAAATCCTGAAATCCAAGGTGGCTGCCACAAAACATGTCTTTTACATACGGCTGTCCTAACTGGAAAGATGCCACATTAATAATCCCAAATTACATTCTTTATTACTTTTAGGTGTACTGAATATGGACCTAGGACCCTTTTCTTTAAATTGTGTTAATTCAGATTGCATTATGACTTTCGAAATTCAAAATGGCCGCCAATTTGCTTACACATAAAATGATATAATACATTATTCCAATACAAAATAAAATTTAATAAACTCAAGCTAGCTCAGCCCTGTTAGCAAATTTTTATTTACTATGATTTTCTGATAGCTTGGGCCCTCAGTTCAAATATTCTGCTTGTTTGCCATGTAATAGGTGAAAGGTGTGACCGATACAGCTGTTGCCATAGTAACACAGGGGTTTTAAAATTATAATTTATGAGACCTTTAAATTGCCATGTATTTTAAATATATGAACTCGCTGTATTGTAAACTTTTAAAAAAAAATTAGACTTGGACCTCAGTTATAAACAAAATTATTTGAAAAAATTATCGTAGTTAAATTGCCAAAATGGCAGCCAATCCAAGATGACGATAGATTTATGTTAATTTTCTTCTTATTACTGAAAGTAGCTTTTTGTAAACTTTGAAAGCAGCATTGGAATTGAAAAATGTTAGGTTTTTGGATATGCTGATATGAACAGAATTAATTTTTCAAATTGTTATAAAAAATTTAATTTTTATAACATTTTACTTAAAATATAATTGTATAGAAATGCAAAATCGCCATCTATATTTGCAAACTAGTTGCCTTTCACTCAAAATCAGACTATTTTGTGTCATGCAACTTGCCCAATAGATGGTAAGAGACCATCAAATAATTTCAGCCATCTACCGCACGATAATTTAAATACTTGTAGACCATATTGAGTTATTACAAATGTTCACGATCTTGGCTTCATATTATTCAAATTCAATACATCAAAAGGTAACAACAAATACAAAAGAATAAAAGAATAAATACAGATAGAAAGAAGGCAATTTCGGAGAACAATATTCAATATTAGAAGTTTAATAGGACAGCAATATATACCAAAGTAAATCACCCAGGATTAGTTGGGGTCATTTTGGNTAGTCATTGAGGCACGTCTATTCATCGTTGAATTAATTATTTAAGTATAATAAATGTTTAAAGATATTTCGTATACAGTGAGTGCACAGATCTACGGGTAACTAGCATTCCAGCGTGTCTCAAGGCATATTTTCACTTACTTTCGTCCGCCTGGTTAGGAACTTGCGAAGATAACACAGAAGAAAGGATATATTGTTTCAAGTTGTTTATATCCATTTACTGACAGTTGGCCAGGTAGACCAATCAAGATTGTTGCAGTTTGGTTCACAGTTGCTTTGTCATCCTGCGAAATCATTTTCATGTTTTATACTTAGAAGTATAAAGAACCCGACCAGGACGAGGGTAGACGAAGATCACTAAAGCTGCTTCTATCCGGACGAGTAAAGGACGCATTTTAAAAGTGTTTGGGAGAAAAAGAAGCCGACAAAGAGCATTTTGTTCAGATGAAAATGAACGAAACAGTTGTATGATTTACTGAAGTGGACACACGGGTACGGGAACGGCTGACATCAGAATTTCAACGAAGTTCATATTGATGCAAAGCGCAAATCTATACTGGATAATCTTCGTTGCAATCCATCTCAGCGAGTCAACCTTTGCTTATTCATTTAATATCTCCTTTGCTTTTATTTACCCAACATTATAGTTCATTCATTCATTCAATAACTTTTTAATAAGCCAGAGAGAATGCACTTTTCAGATAATCAGCAAGTTGTAGAAAGTTCGTGGATAAAGAACATATTTGCAGTTTTTTTCTTTATATGCGTAGTGGTAGTGTTGAATTTCATACT